ATAGCACCAGGCTCGCTGCAGACGTAGATGACATCATGCTCGTTAGAGAAGCCGTTGAAGGTGGTGGCCGAACACTTGGTGTAGGCACCCATGTCCTCGAAGTACAGCCAGTCGCCAACATCGAGAATCTCGCGGAAGCGAATGCTCTCGGTGATGCGATCAATGCCGTCGCAAGTGGGACCCCAGATGCTGTACTCAATGGCGTCCTCCGCAGAAGACTCGTGGGCAGCAACAGAGTTGTACATGGTGCGGCCGCCAGCACGGAGGATCTTGGCCACAGGGTGCTGGTGATCGAACATGATGCTGCTGAAGTTTCCGTACAGACCATCGTTGACGTAGACCATATATCTAGCATCGCCGTTGTTCACCGATCCATCGTCGCTCATAGAAGAGGAATCGGAGACCGAGACAGCAGAGCCGTCCTGGATAGTGCGGCGAGCAATGATGTTGCAGGCAAGGGTGAATGCCGAGGAAGCGTAGTAGCGACCGGGCTCAGCGATAAGGTTGACACCGGTGTGGGCCGGGAAGTACTCATCGAGGGCAGCACGCAAGACGTTAGCCATCTGCTCGAAAGTATCGTCGCTGCAGAAACCTCCACCAACGTCGAGGGTCTTCAGGTTGTAGCCATAAGCAGCGGCCTGCTGGAAGACAACATGAGCGTCCTGAACAGCCTTCAAGAAAGCAGTAGGATCGGAGGCGCCCGAGCCAACGTGGAAGCTGACGCCAACCACGTTGAGGCCCAGCTGGCGGGCGAGGCCTAAGAGACCATCAGTTGAGTCGAGGGAAGCGCCGAACTTCATGCTGAAACGGCAAAGGGACGAAGAATCGTCGGTAAGGATGCGGAGGAAAAGCTCGGCGTCGGGATACAGGCGCGCAATCTTGCGCAGCTCGTCGGCATTATCGAAGGTCATCTGGCGCACGCCCTGCTGGGCGACATAGCGCAAGTAAGAATTGGTCTTGCACGGCTGTGCATAGATAATGCGGGAGGGGTCGACGCCCATGCGGAGGACTTGCTCGATCTCGGCCTTGGAGGCACAGTCGAAGCCGGTGCCGAGAGCGGCCAAGAGCTGCAAGAGCCTTTCGTCGGGATGGCACTTGACGGCTGATGACAAACATCCTAGTCAGCAAACTTGATTCTCGATACGAAGCTCATAGTAATTGGAATAACTCACCATAGAACGGCTTGACGCGAGGAAGGTTCAGCTTCCAACGGAGGTGCTGGCGGTAGACCTCGCCGAGGTCAGCGACAAAGAATGTGTCCTCATCACCGGGCTCGCAGAACTCGGAGTCGATGCTCTCCACACGCTGGCGGAGGGCATCACCAATCATTTGTTTGGCGACCAACTTGCCGTTGGCAAGGCCGTGGAGGTAATCATCGTGCTTCAAGGAGCCATTATTGACGGTGTTCAAGCTGTCGGTTTGACACTTTGAAAAGACATGATTGTTTGTATAATCGATGAAATCGATAGTGCCCATGCGGTCGGAGACAACAGTCGGCATAACCATATCCCAAGATTTGACTGGGTTGATAAGATCGAGTGCTGGTAGTGAGGTTCGCGAGGTTTCGGAGACTCCCGGTGTGAAGAGGAGTTTGCGTATGTTGGTTGTTGTTGATTTTGAGTTTGTTGTGTAGTTGATGTGCCAGCAAGAAGCAATAGATGCTCTTGAGAACGGGTCTTAGGGGGGTCGGTGTCGGTACGAGACTGATCCCTGAGCGATCTGACGAGGCCTCCTCGACTCTTCCTCCGTTAGAGGAAGAACCGCAGAACTCGTCCTATGCGGCAGCTGACGGTTGGGACTGTATTCAGGTCCTTGGTTGGGAGAGGGATCGAAAAAGAGAGCGTCGAGCTTCTTAGAGACCCTCAGGAGCGGATGGGGGAGGTACGACGTTGATGATGTGGAAGGTCTTTCTGAGGCTGAAATCTTGGTCCGAGACGAGCTTTACGGCCGAGGAAGCCGTGTTAGATACGGTTGCCTTTGAGAAGACCAAAGGCAGTCAAGGGAGGTGGATGCTACGGCGATGACGACGACGTGTCCGTCCTGATGATGGGCGCAATGTTAGCAACTTGACCGTGACGAAGTCGTAAAGAGGCAGAGAGGGAGCGGTGCGAAAAGGGTGAGAAATTTGTGAAGAGGTAGGTTGGACTTGGCGTTGGGAGCTGTGATGAAACCTCCACAACTATGATGAAACTGGAAGTAGGTCGTCTGCTGGGATGCAGACTTCGACTCGGGTGGTCGGCTAACTGAAGCCAGCCTTTTTGCGCAGTCCGTGACGGGTTTGCCACATGGAAGAGCTCCCCACTCTACGGAGCGCAGACCCAGAGAAAACCGAGAGAGCTTTCATCCCATATCTTTGAAACACATGTGATCTGGGTCGGGTGTGCTGGAAATCAGAGGGTAGAGCATTTGAGAATCATGGGATGGAATTGGAAGCACACCGCCGTCACCGTCATTGACTTACCCGTTTATCGCGCAAGAGAGCAAGCTGTAGATTGTGTAGAGTGTTTGGAATGGAAGGGGCTACGTGTGTAGTTGTAACAGTTGCAGACGAGGAAAAAGGGAAGAGGAGAGAAGAGAAGGAAAGAGAGGAAAAGTGACAAAAAGGTTGCGTGGAGGAGGGGAGGTTAAAAGAATCAGGCGTCAGGGGGGTGGAGGAGGGCCGGGGGGGTGCTTGGACTCGGCGGGCCGGGGCGGGAGGTTGACGATTTCTTCTGGTGCTGGGGCTGATTACGAGATGCCGACCGCGCTTGTTAGGTTTGGTCAAGTGGTGGAGGGGTCCAGGCTTGACAATGCCAACCTGAATGTGCAGCTGGTGGGGAGACAAATAATGGAATCTCACAAGGCCTGCGGTGGTGAGGGCAGGAAAAAAGCGGGAGGGCAGGAATTTACAGCCGGGCACGGGCTCTTTGGCACTGAAAGCGAGGCTAGCAGGCCAGAGGCTGTGCTGCTGGTAAAAACTTTTTTTTTCTCTCTTCGATTTCCGCCCACAAAAAAGAGGGACATCGCCCTGGTCGGGCTACGGAGCCTCCGTCGTCCAGCCCCGGCCGTCATCTCGATCGTTTTCCATTCCGTAATTTTTTTCTCTCCAACGAGAAATCAGGAAAAAAAAATGCAATCGACGCTGCAGAACTAGCCTAACCACATATGGCCCTTGGTGCTACCCTGGCGGAACCCGGCTAGCCGAGAAGGAAGGAGAGAAGCCAGAAGCCAGAGAACATCGCAGGGGTCCTACCTTTTGCTGCCCGCAACCAACGCTCCCCTCTCTGTATGTAGTGTAGTGAAATCATGCTTTTGCGGGACAGACATTGGGCATTGAGAAATATCGGCCGCATTGATCGTTGCTTTCTCTCCGTAGCTGATTTCAACTGCCACCACCTCGCTAAATATAGCCGAGGTCTACACTTGGATTTGTTAAATGTGACGACGACAGCGACTGTCGGGACGCTCTTTCGTCCCATGTTTGCGCGCATATCGCTGCTTGATAGCATGAGCAATCTCGGGCAATCCTAGAGAGGCTTTGAGACGAGGGACTTTCAGACCGCAACTCCGTGCACCGCCAAAACGTAGAGTGAGCCCAACATCCCTCTCCGGGCGAGCTTCTAGATTCGGAGCCGGGCCGCCTTGCAATCCGCGTGAGCAGATAGGGTTTTTCCGTTGGGTTTCGAGAATGGAGACGAAAAGGAAGTGGCATGGGCGAGGATCATGACCCCCTCACCTAGCGCGATTTGATTCTGAGCAGCGCCGTTGGAATAGGGCGACATTCTACCTAGTGTAGTTTCAATACCTTGTATGTATCACTGTGTGACACACAAACTGCACTCAGCACATTGTCGCACGACGTAGAGGACAAAAGACCAGTCAAATCGCGCAATTACCATAGGCCTCTATTACATCCGCAAACAACCCAATCCGTATCCGTTGGTATCTTGCCTCCTTGCCAGTAACCATCCCCGCGGCTGTCACCATGCACACGAGGATTAACTTCCTTATACATAGCACTTGTGCGTAAGAGGGTTGTTCTGTATTCCGAGTGAAAAATGACTGCCAGTGACTGGAAAGCCGTTTCCTCGAGGGCACGCATTGCGGCTTGAAGCAAGCTTGACTTCGAGAATCTCTTCATCTGCTAGTTTTTGTTGTCATATTCGACGTCTACTTCCGCCTCTATTAGGGCATGAGCCGTTCGTTGTCTGCCATGTCGTGTACAAAAGAGATATTTCTAGTACGCACGGAAGCAGACTGTGGCTTTGATCATTGATGTAGTTGACCGTACCCCTAGGCTCACATCGACGACGATCATCTTCAAGACGGACCGACGATACTATTGGTCTGCTACGATGCCGCCCCCTGGCGAGGCTGCTTGCCAATGAGGATGGCCGATTTTGTGACTCAGGCCAGAAGCAACACGACGCAGCCTGCTGTGTAGTCTCGTGGTACTGTAGGGCGGCCACACTTCAGAGGCAGCCTGTCACGGTCCAAATGCTTCGGCTATCTCGCCCGAGAGGTAGTAATGACGTAAGCAGGGAAACGAGGGGATATCGTAGCATTCAGCACTCGGGTCAGTAAGTAAAGCAGAAGCATGTACTCTGTTCTTTAGTCCGCACATCCAAAGCTGAGGAAGACGGTTCTGATAGAACGAGCTCTCGGCCGGGCCTCAAGGCGCAGAACGCCGATTCCCTGTCACATTTGATCTCGCGCCGTTTTGTGGCATCAACGCCACTGAACGGGCGTTGAAGCGTATCGTAGCTGGCGCTTATTGATGAGAAAGGGGAAGGAACAAAAACATGTAACAAAACCCTGAAAGCTTTATCAGTATACGGCCAAAGAACTGGAGCGCTGATTGTAGCCGAGTGTCGGTGCAGTTTCTCGGACACTCACTGGATCCGCACTGGCTCGTTCTGCCTTTTATATAGGAGAGGGTATCATTCAACCATGTCACTTTACAAATACAAAACCGCCAATCTCATCAACATCTGGTCGTGTTTCGCCGTTGATGGAGTGGTCTAAGCGGAACCGTTGATGTCCATCTCTTTGACCGCCCAAGACTTGTCGACCCAGTCACGCTTCTCGCCAAGGAAGACGACACGCTCAGAGCCGTTGTTAAGGGCCTTGACAACATACTCCTGGGCCACTTCCCGGACCTGATCCTTGGTAACATCCAAGAGCTCTTCGCGGCGCTTCTGTTTCATCTCGTCGGTGATACCGTAGAGGAACTGGGCCATGCCTTCTTCATTGACAGCCTTGGGTGCGTCAACGCCTTGGAAGACAGAGATCTTGGCATCCTCAAGATCACGATCAGTCCACTCCTTGTCAACCGCCCACTGGCCAGCGTTCCGCATGATTTTGAGCGTGTTCACAGGATTAGGGTCGCGGTACGAGTAGAAGCCGAAGATACCGTCGAGAGGGCGAGCGTAAGATCCGCCGCCGTAGGCGCCACCCTTCTCACGAATCTCGTGATGCAAGTGCTTGTGGGTCAAGAGCTGCGAGAGAATCTGGAGAGGGGCATTCGCGGAAGCCGTGTAAGAAGCCGTAGGAAGGGCTAAAGCACCATAGTAAACCTGATAAGGCAAGGGATAGAACGTCTTGATATCACGGGTAAAGTTGGGGGGTCCCCGGCTTGGGAAAGTCACCGCTTCCGAAGGCAGCGAGTTGACAAAATTTGAGAGCGCCTTTGCGTTGTCAGAGACACTTCCGCTGTCGCAGGTGATGGCGGTACGGAGATTGCCAGCCAGTGCGAACTGTTGGATTTGCTTAAGCTTTGCAATAACATCCTCCAACGGGTCTGACTCGGGCCGGCTTGCCAAGCTAGTCACCAGCTTCACCTGCGAGAGACCGCTAACCTGCTCCTTGAGAAAGGAATCCCACGTAAGGCCAGATTCCGCGGCTCTCCGAGCGTAAGCGTGTCCCGATGAAGCAATATCGTTCACGACGCCATCAGCAGATGCTTGCAACAGCTGACGGATCTGTTGAGCTGCTTGAGGACTGTCGAAGTCAGTCTCTACGACCAGCTTGCGCAAGAGGTCAAACATCGTTGGCACATGACGATCCAATGCCATGCCCGAGAACATCAGGCCTTCTGTGGCCCGAGTAAAGTCAGTTGGATGAGAAGTCGAATGATAGCCGACCGAAACACCTCCAGTTTTGAGCTTGATCAAATCCTCAAGCTGCTCCATTGTCATGTCCTTCGTACCCAAACGCATGATGGAGTCAGTGAAGAGGGGGATCAGGCTTCGGAGCTCATCGGGCAGGTTCTCCAGCTGGTTGATAGCACGGAAGTAGGTCAGCCCGTTCGTGGGAGCCTCGTGCCACTGTGTCTTGACTCTTGCTGTGTTATCGTGTCTCAAGATAACCGAGTCCTTCTGGCGCGGAATGTCCTTGACATGCACGCTAGGAAGGCAGCTAAGATCTTCGGTGTTGGTCTTGCTTTGCTCGGCCAGCAACTTGAGTTCCCGAGCTTCGAGAGCAGCACGAGCTTCCTCTTCGCTACCAGCAGCTTTGACAACTTCCGAAATCTTGGTGCTTAAGCGAGTTTCCTCCTCTTGGGCCAGCTCCTGGCTAAAGGTTGACGAAGGCGCCATCGTGAAGGAGAGAGTATTGTCGTTTGTCAGATACTTATCAATCAAGCCCTCAAGATAACCACCTTTGGCAAGCTCGGTCTCAAAAGCAGCAATCGTGTCGTTCCAGGCAAGAGAGTCAAATGGATCGACTCCAACAAACCACTTCGGCTTCAAACGGTGGAGCAAAGACATGCCAAAGTTGGCAGTCTTGTGCTTAAGGCCGAGCTCAAGCTGGTGGAGATAGCCATCAATCTTTGATCTCTCAAAGCCCTTGTCCCGCATGCTGCGAAGAATCTCCTGTACCTTGGCCTTGACCTTAGGCACATCTTCTTCTTGAACACCGCTGAGACCAATGGAGAAGATACCAAGCTTGCCCGAACTGTCATACCCGGTGTTGGGGCTCCAGTCCGTTCCTAGCCCAGATTCAATCAATCCCTTGTAGAGAGGCGAGCCATAACCATCCATGAGCAGAGCAGAAATCAGCGCCAGCGAAAAGGACTCGACGACATTGCTGGTTTCACCCAGAACCCACGAAACGGAAGTCTTGAACTGCTTATTGGCGTCCACAAGGGGGTCAATAGGTCCATAGAGCTTGACTTCCCTGGGGCCACTGCTGAGGTCGATAGGGCTATGGTTTGCCACATCAGCCCGGATCTTCCCAAATACGTCAAGCTGGGCACCGATTTCCTTCAAGTGATCCGCCAGTGGCATATCGCCGTAAGTAAAGACCTTGGCGTTGCTCGGGTGGTAGTGATCAGCATGGAACTTCTTAAGCTGTTGGTATGTCAGGTCTGTGATCTTCTGGGGATCACCACCAGAGTTGTTGATGTCTGGGAAAATATGGTCTTGAAACCGAATCCAGAAGAGGTAGGCAGCATCTGACATCTGCCCCTTCATCTCGTTATAAACGACACCCTTGAAGACAAGCTTCCTGTCCTCGGGCTTTGCGTTGCCCTCAGCCGCAACAAGAGCCTGGGGATTCTCGGGCCCAATGCGCCATCCTTCCTGTGTAAAGTCCGTCTCCTTCAAGAGAGGATGCAGAGTCGCGTCAAGGTAGACAGACATGAGGTTCTTGAAGTCCTGGGCATTGGTGGTAGCAAACGGGTAAAAGGTGTGATCCGATGCTGTAAAGGCGTTCATGAAATTCGAAAGCGTTCGCGGAAGCATCTTGAAGAAGGGGTCTCGAATAGGATATCTGAAGGAGATCTCATGTCAGCGTGAATAGCCCAACCGATGATCCGCTGTTCGAGTTCGCATACTTTTGGCTGCCACACAGAGTGGTGTGCTCCAGGATATGTGGGACACCGGTGTCGTCCGGGGGATTCGTTTTGAAGCCGATAGAGAAGACATTGTTGCTGTCGTCGCGGGCAATGTGCAAATGCTCTGCTCCGGTCTTGTCGTGTTGCAAGTGCAAAGCAGTCAACTCCAGCTCCGGGACATGCTTTGACCGGAGAAGGGTGAAGCCGTGGAGTTTCTCGCCGGGTTTCGGGTACTGGGAGAGCTCGGTGACGGCGCGGCGCGCTGCACCTTTGGTCGCGTTGCGCAGCATCGTTCTGGCAGCAGTAGAGAAAACCCGAGTGCTGGCAGAAATCCTTGGCACTATGCAAGGCGACTGGAAATGGCGATGGTGATGGTGGTGGTGACGGTACTACTTGAGGCGTCCGGTTTAGGCGGCAGTTGGAACGGGAGCTGACGCGGAGCTAGGCCTGCCTGCCACAGCGGCAGTGGGTACCTCAGGTGGTGACTGACTCCCGCCCCCGCCGTCTGTCGCCCCTCAGCCCACACCCACCCCTCCTGCCCTCCTCCGAAGGAATCAAGTGGAAAAGGAAGCCTGGTGGAAAACCTGCAACTGAACCGTGCTTCGGCAGAGTCGGGAATAGTGGGGCCGAGACCACGACGGGCGCTGGAGGCTGCACCGCACGAGGAGGCTAGCTCTCTAGTACTCTTGAACCATCCAATGAGTAGCCGTGCCTCGAAAGAGCGAAGTTGTTAATGAGGTACCGCAGAGCATGATTTGTCAGCGCTTCACTCCCACACTAAAGGCACTGTGGTAAGTACTGTTCTATCTGTTTGTAACCTCGAGGGACATTTTTACACGTACAGGTAGAGGAAGTTGCTTCTAGACGGGAGAGGTAGGCCGGGACTATAAGCTCTTGGGACTTACTGACTTGTATTTACTTAACTGATTATATGAACTCTTTGCAACAATATAGTGTGGCCCCATGCGTTCCGAAAAGCAAATAAGTCATTGTGTGAATGTTGAACTTTGGATGTCAACAGTGAGAGCGGCAATCGGCATCTGACGAAATGTGAGATGAAGTATGTGAGCAGCATGTTAGTACACTATCCAAAGCATATTGTTCATGCGAGGTCGATGCACGGCGGGCCACGGATGAAATCATGATGAAAACGCCGTTCCGTTTGGTTCCTCGAGGACTTGGATCATGAAATTCTCCACAAAACATCAGGACCAAGTGCCGTGGATGACGATCAGAGAGAACCTGCCTCTAACAGTGTAATAAGAACACTGGTATCGACCTAATATCCATGCAGGAAGTAGTGGCCAAGAAGAATTGCCCGAGTGGAAAGTAGCAGCCATGAAGGGACAACGGGAGCACTAGATACCTACCCACCTACCTACCTATGTACCTGTTTCTATTCAGATTTAGTGTATAGTCCGTGCTGGGGCCCCGAAGACCGAGAGCAGGTACCTGCCGCCTGTTGAAACGCAGCGGAACCTGTCATCCAATTCGCGCGCCCCATCAGATTAACCGACGCCATAGCGATCTGGTCGTCCTTTCCCATACATCAAAGTCTTCCGCAGCCATTATCTTGACGACTGCTGCCGTCACGGCCGCCCGAATACACAACGACTCGATTACACAACTTCCACACCACAGCGCATACAGTTTTTCTATTGTGCACGCTCAACACCACCACACTCTGACCACGACGGCTAAGCGGCAAGGCTAGCAGTAACGCACCACTGCAGTGCACACGCAAACCTTTTGCAACTTGACATCTCGTTGACATTGCCAGTCGGAGGGGCCACTGCCGACCACACGCCTGTTTCCGGCATCAAGGCCAGTCCCTCGACAATGTCAAGCGCCAATCCTTTAGCCACTGCAACTTCCGGCCCTCGACCTGCGACACCCATGAGCAATGGATCGGCAAACCATCCGGTCGACCCCCCTCCTGCCACGAATGGCCACCCGAACCACGCTCACGAGACCCGGCCGGCTCCTGCGCCCCCCGCAAACATGGCGGGCAAAAAGGGCAAACCGAAAAAGGCTCCCGAGCCGAACGAGGCTAGTAAGCTCATTGCTGCTAGAATCACACAACTGGAGCAAGATGCCGCTGGTGAAAAGGACCAGGAGGCCGAAATAGGTGCGTGTTTGTCCTTACAACCTGCTGGGCGCTTGAGAGGGCAATGGCGGATGTTATGAGATCGAAAAGGGGGGACGGAAGGCTCAGAAACACTCGACAGTCGTTGACCGAACCTCCTCAGTCAACCTTTGCTGCATGTCTTCAGACTACCCTCCAGTCTCGATTGGGATGTAGACGGGTTGAAATAAAACGGAAGGATCTTGTCAAAACGGGCGATCTTGGCTTCGGATGAAAGAGAAGGCGCTGACAGCAAGCCGTGCGCAGAACGAGAGGTCAAGAAAGCTAGTAGGGAGCTACACAGCCAGACCTCGCGGATGAACGACCTCCAAAAGATTGATCATCTGACCAAACGCTGTGCGGACTTGCTGGCGGAGATGAAGAGGCTCGAACGTGAAAGCATCAAGAACAAGAAACGAGGCGATCAGCTACAGAAGGACAAGGACAATAGCCGCAATGAACTCAACAAGACAACGTCGCTTAAAGAGAAGCTCGAGAAACTCTGCCGCGAACTGCAAAAAGAGAATAACAAGCTCAAGGTATGGGATCACGTGTGTGTTCAAGTAGCATTCAAGGTTACTGACAATGCTTGTCTACCTAGAACGAGAACAAGACGCTATCGGATACGCAGGTTCGAAGTCAGAACTCATGGGATGAGAGGTATTCAGCTCTTCTTCGTCGAATGGATGACTATCAGGAAGAAAAGGACAATCCGCGCAAGCAAGTAGTGGACATGGAAATGGATGAATTGTCAGTAACGGCTCCATTCCTTGCCTGGTTCTATTGTTACACTCGCTCACTGTCACCAGTTTTCGCCAGCGGTTCAAGTCTCTGATCGAACAGTACGAGCTGAGGGAACTCCACTTCCATGCGCAAATGCGGACCAAGGAACTCGAAGTCCAGTACAACCTCGCTAGGTTTGAGCGTGAAAAGAAGAACTACGAGGCCGAATTGGCGCGCTCAAGGCAATTAAACGCCCAGGTGCAGACCTTCTCAAAGACGGAGACGGAGCTGAGACAACAACTCAATGTCTACGTGGACAAGTTCAAGCAGGTCCGTACTAGCCAATAATGGTACCAAGACGGAGTGGCAATGAAGAAGGCTGACAGCATGGCTAGGTTGAGGACACGCTGAACAATAGCAACGACTTGTTCCTTACGTTCCGCAAGGAAATGGAGGATATGTCGAAGAAGACAAAACGCCTTGAGAGGGAAAACGAGAACCTCAAGAGAAAGCATGAGCAGGTGAATGGCAACATCCTCAAGATGGCGGAGGAGCGGAACAAGTACTTGGCCGAGATCGAGGACCTCAAGAAAAAGTGCGAGAAGCTGAATGGCATCATTAAACAGATGCAGCAGCAGGGCCGGGGGATCCCGCAAGGGCTGGCTGGCGCGGTTGAAACGGGCTATGCGGAAGGTGAAGGAGAGCTTGAGGGGGATGAAAGCGAGTACGAAGACGAGTACGACGAAGAAGGAGATGAGGAAGTGAGTGACGAGGGCGACGAGTACGACGATGAAACAGAGGACGAGCAGCAGATGCAGCAGCATCACCAACCCCAGCCGTACGGACCTGAGCGGCCGCCCCCTCCTGCTCCGGCTCCTGCCCCTGTTCCCACCAAGGCCGCCCTTACCGCTAACGGCGCGTACCACCTTTGCTAGATGGATATCCGCATGCTCATTTCGCAGGGTTTCTGTCCCGCGACAACGGCTCAGGTTAAGGGTATGTATGCAGTGAAACACCGAGGTTATAACTCGGCTATCGATATGCTTAGAGGACTAGCTCAACCCATCAGTTCATCCAGGCGTATTGACTGGCATGAACAGGTAACGACATTGCCGTATTAGTGTAGTATTGTCTAGTGAAGAAATTCAGCGGTTGCAGGAGAGGCTCGGTGCTTTGATGGCCCAGAAATTGAGGCTCGATGATATCATGGACACTTGAGCAGTCGCAGTCAGATGAACGTCCGGGTGCTTGGTGTGTCCGTCGATGTACGGACCATTCCCGTCAACTTGGCTTCAACAACCCCGCATACCTACCGTAAGTGTCGGGTACCTCTAGTGTAGACAGCGCCCCCACTTTCCCCTAGGCATTTATTTTCCATGTCACGGCTGCAGCTGGCAGTGTTGACAGCCTGAAGCCCTTGATACCGCCCTAACAATTCCCACTACTAAAACAGCAATGTCAGACTTTATGCTTGCAACAAGAGGCTGGTGGACTTGGGGGGATTTCTCCGTACACCAACCATTTCTCCCTCATTTCTATCGATCCTCGACGTTCCTGCAAGACATTGCACTTTGCCGACGACGACGGACCAGGCTCCCAGTTTAACTTCCCCCCGATTGCCTGCGGAATTCTCCGTCTCGGTATCCGGTCGAGGTTGTTCTTAATCAAAATTCAGCTGCATCATACGCACACCAATTTCAGAACGGGCCAAAAAGCCGAACATGGGATAAGAACAACTACACCAAAAGACGAAAGTAGCACGGGCAGACCTGAGACATTGGGATTGCTTGTGATTCTGAACCGTTCAACTCCTTGTTCACTTATCATTTACCACTCAGCACAGGCGTCGCTAGAAACTTGAGAAAAGGCGGATCATTTGGCACCTACCGTTGTTATTGCCTTCTACGCTAGTGGGTTGTGCCGAACGCGACAGGTTGAGTTCACAGATCCAGTCGCCGGACCCCATGCGGACGAGTACACATTCCAGCTGGATTTGACGGTCCAATTCCTCCAATCCATGGAACCGCCTCCTTGAATGAATCGACCTATAACACATCCTCGCTATAATATTCCAGACTCTTTATCATCCCGCAGCCCAAGTTAGGCGTGCGCCGCGGACCGCGCAGTCAATTGCAACCTTACCTAGCTTCCCTCTTTCGCGCCCGATAACAGATTAACACGGAACCGAAAATCGACTTTTATCACTACGGGTTGTCCCAGCCGAGCGTTCACATCCACATATACGTTGCACTATGGCGTTTATCCAAGATCCCCGTCTGCGTCAGCGCTGGAATCAGATCTCTCACAACGCCGAGGCGGTAACCGAGAACGCCGCCGCCGGCATCTGGACCTTCCAGCACCAATACATCACCCCCTGCCTGTCATCTCTGGCCGACTCCATCGACAGCTGCACGAGCCTATGTCTTGGAGACCGCGAAGAGCGTGCCCGACGCGCGCGCGAGCGAGACCGCGGAGCCCACCGTACGAGGGCCGAGTATATGTTTGATTTTTACGACGATTGGGACGATGATTTTGCTGCGGATCAAGGGACCGCCAGTAGCGGAGGAGGAGGAGGACTTTTCAGCGGCTGGGGCGGCGAGGACTGGGATCGCTTACTGGCGGGGACGGGAAACGATCGGAGACATGCGGCCGGTGGCACGGGGGACGTGGTGGATCAACCGAGACGAAAGAGAGGGATGAGCTATGGGACGAGAGGAGGACCCAGGAGGAAGGCTTCGTTGCCCGAGGACGACCCGACTGTGATTCCGAGGACGGCACCGCTGGGGTTCTTGGGGCGATTGCCCTTCAAGTTTGGCGGTACACTCAGGTACAAGCCTTCAGCGGCGAACTTGCGAGACCACCCGGGCGCTCTACTGCCTGGACAACAACAGCAGGGAGGACGCCGGCACCGAGATGAAAATGAGCCGTTGCTGGGGACAAGTTCGGAGGAGGGTGAGCATGCTCGGAACCATGAACAACATGCAAGGGAATCACCACAGTTGAGGCCGCGCAGTAACACTGGCGAGTCAGAAGGCACGTCGTCGAGCTCGTATCGATCGAGGAACGACATATTCCCAAGTGATGGCGAGGGCGATGAGGATGCGGTGCCGTTAGACGACGAATTTGCGGTCGCCCTTGGCCGCGTGGATGACGGGAGCAGTAACAGGACGAGAAGCACTAAGGGGAAACGGCCGGCGAACGGAGATAGGGAGTCAGGGATAGCGAGATCAGTGTCAAGGACTACGATAGCGTCGACCTACTCGGCCTACCGTATCGATGACACCACGATCTTCCCAACATCGAGTTCAGAGGATGCCCTGCCGACTCCATCGCTCGAGGATTTACAGCGAGAGGAAGAACAGGCTGAGAGGGAAGAGTATGAGGAGATTGAACGAAAGAGAAAGGCTGCGTCTCGCTTGGCTACACAGCGTGGATTGCGCAAAGAAGAGGAGGGGGCTCCCAAGCCAGAGGCAGCGCTGAAATCGAGACCGGAGCTGGAATCAAAGCAAGCCGAAGTAGACCATGGATCGACCCCCGAAGAAGCAACTCTGCATAAAAACATATCACAAAATGAAACAAGGAAGAATTCCGAGGATGAAATGAGGGAGACGAAGCTCCCAGCTTTTACGGAAGTCAGGAGTAATGACACTACTGCAGCCAAGCAGACCCACAATGGAGGTGCGAAGGAGAGCATGACAGCCAAACTCGAGGGAAGCAACACAGAGCTCCAATTCATACCAGCACGGTTGCCTCATTTTGGATGAAATAACCAGGCCTGATAATGCGAGCCAGCAAACAGGGCCTGGAGGCTACGAAACGGACCAAACGGTATCACAGCTCTACAAGATAGATATTACAGTTACGACTTTTTACGAACCTAAAACAACGAAGGATAATGCTGCTAATGGTTCCCCCATGACTAAATTGGTGGTTTAATTAGAAGAAGGGGTTTTCTGTTCAAGACGAACTGATAGAGACACGAGGTGCCCGGACATTAAGAGCCAGAGACATGAAAGAGGCCATCGTTGGACGGTAGTCTTTAGAACGGAGTTGGGGTCCTTTTGGAATAACCAGGACCGGGTTACAAAGTAGGTTGGTTCGAATGATAGTTTCAACTTAGGAGGGTCTGTATGATTGTCTCGATGAGTAGAAGCTTAGCTCATGACAGTAGCATGGTCAGACCTATATTAGCCTCGAACACTAGTGTACCTGAAATATGAGGGAGAGGATGAAAGAATAAAAAACAGCCCTTCAGGGTCCAAGTGACAGAGTGCGCACACGCATCAATAATTATAAACGGATAGATTTATGGGAGCCTAGCTTTGTCGGACCATGTGGCGATGCGTCCAAACGCGAGCCCTTGGAGATCAAAGAAGTTCAATGAACATGTCAACCATTCGCAATTTCAATCAAAAATAGGGGAAAGAAAAAAAAGAGACAAGGTTCCCCGCATCCACAACATACCCCAGAGTCCCCAGTCTCCCCAGTCTACCCCGGACTCCACCCTTCCTCCAGGGGGGTTAAAATGCAACGTTATGTATGGGAGACGTCAGCGGAACTTCATGCCAGATTTCGTTGTTCATCCCAAGTTCTTTGCGCTCGGAGTTATATATTTTGTAATTGATACAGGAACCTTTGGACCTGGCAACGGTATTTGATATCAGGTTCTCCCTCCATCTCGTTTTTGCTGAGCTTCCTCCCTTTATCTACCTCCCTTTCCGAATGAACTACTTTGTGTGATAGCCACCACCTACCATACTGTAGGACGGACAACACATGCCACTGCATCCTACCACTCCTTACATTTGTCCAGTACAATATCTAATCACATCTTACATTCATTGCACTTGAACTCACTAGCATCCATGACACCATCAACCACCGCGCCCACAGGGCCCATCACAACCCATCTCACCACTCTCCTGGGGATCAAACACCCAATCATCCTCGCCGGCATGGCTCGCGTTTCTGGCGGTCCCCTCGCAGCTGCCGTCTCCAACGCGGGCGGCCTCGGCGTCATAGGCGGTTTCATGTACACGCCCGACCAGCTGCGCTCCATCATCGCCGAGATGAAAGCCAATTTTAGCCGGCCGGACCTGCCCTTCGGCGTCGACCTGGCCCTGCCGCAGATCGGCGGCTCGGCCCGCAAGACCAACCACGACTACACAGGCGGCAAGCTGGACGAGCTAATCGACATCACCATCGAGAGCGGCGCCAGGCTGTTTGTGTCGGCCGTGGGCGTGCCGCCCAAGCGCATCATCGACAAGCTCCACGCCAACGGGATCCTGGTCATGAACATGGTTGGCCACCCCAAGCACGCTGTCAAGGCGCTGCAGCTCGGCGTCGACATGGTGTGCGCCCAGGGAGGGGAAGGGGGGGGACACACGGGCGACGTGGCTAACAGCGTGTTGATCCCCTCAGTGGTGGACGTGGCGAGGATGTTTAAGCCTACGATGCTAAACAAGGTATTGGGTACGACGGATCACCCGGCGCTGGTTGTAGCGGCCGGCGGTATCGCGGATGGGCGCGGGCTGGCGAGTAGCTTGATGCAAGGGGCCGCGGGTGTCTGGGTGGGAACGAGGTTCGTGGCGAGCAAGGAGGCCAGCTGCAGCGATCAGCACAAGGAGGCGGTGGTAACGTGCGGGTTCCAGGATACCGAGCGAACGCTGGTTCTGAGCGGGAGGCCCTTGAGGATGAAGACAAACCAGTATATCGCCAAGTGGCATGCGCAGCCAGAGAAGATTGCGGAGTTGACGGGGAAGGGCATCGTGCCGATCGAGTGGGATATGGATCAAGGGAACGAGATTGACCCGCCGCATCTGATGGGACAGGTGGCGGGATTTGTGAAGAAGGTGCAGCCGGCTGGGGAGATTGTGGAGGAAATGGTGCAGGAGGCGGTTGAGCAGTTGAAGTTGGGACAGGCGTATTTGAACGTGGGCAGGACGAGCAAACTATAAGCGAGGGGGGGTGCAAAGGGTTGAGGATGTATTGTATATATACCTAGGTACCTATGTTAGCCATAATCCCGTTATTTCTTCTCGATGCAAGTCATGGTTGGCACCTTTCATCCATGTTCCCTCCCACCTGTCATCCATCTCAACTCTTCGACTGGGCCGTCGCCCATAGGACACTGTATAACCCGTAACCTGGCTTTCTCACGGTGTATGCATCACTTCCCGCGTCACTCCTTCCATGGGAAGTTGGTACGATGGCGCAGCGGTCATGGTTGTTGGCCCCTCTCCTTCCGGTCCCCTTCTGGCCTCCTGTCTCCCGTTCCCGTGCACGCTTTACGATCTGGCCAGTGGTAAGCCCACTTTTTCTATTTAATTGAAAATCTACACTATTTCTTCTCTTTTTCTGTTGCACTTTTCTTCTAATTGCTGTTCTTCATGCGCTGTCCTCAAGCCAGACGAACGAACAAAGGTACAAACAACATTTTGATGTGCTCAAAGGGGTTTGGGTGCTTTTTTTTCTAAGAGAAAAGGGGGAAATTACAGACCAACTGTTGTCCAATTATCATCATCGAATTTTGTAGTTACAACCCAAAAGAGACGGCCTCATCATAACGTCACCAAACACACAAACGCTGCTGTCATCTGCACGTAAACCTTGGTTCGTTACGACCTCTGTCTGATCTACAGTACTACTTACCTTGGGTAGTGATCTCTCTGCTTTCCGCTTGCAATGTATCAAGGCTCATGACAAAATCTCGTCAACTTGTGAATACTCAAATAGCGATTGAAAGATCCGAAAGGGGGCATTGCAGGATGACTGTGATCTGGGTCGTGATTGGGGTTTTTGACATAAGAAACCCGCGATCAGTATATGATGAGGAAAAGGTCATTTTATCATCTTACCACGCACCCAGCTTTAGAACGTGTGGAAAATCTCTCACAATGAAGAGCCACTCGAACTATTGCTGTAAGTAAAAAGGCCTGATCGTTTACAAGGCCTGGTGTCTCTCGAAATCCTCTCTTCTCCTGTTGCTACGCATGCCTAATGCTTGGTCCGAAGCAGCTGGATTCATATCGGCATCTGTGGCGCTCCAGCTTGTCGTTTCTGCATCTGTTGATGTATCATGTTGGTAGCACCCTGACGAGTCGCAGCCTCAACAGCACCCGGGCAAGCATGAGTGGAATGACGATGTCTTCTTTCCAGGGAGAGAATCTTTTCACCACACATCGCTCGGGTCTACCTCGAACTTTTCGCCATCTTCCCGAATGTGCTCCTTCTTGACGTCTCTCTTCATGGGTTTGCGCATATCGTAGGCATCCTCCGACGACTTGGTCGGGTCGCTCGAGTGGTCGCCGTAGTAGTCCTTGACGGTGCGGAAGATGCTGTAGCCCATGCTCTTGTAGAACTGGATGGCCTTGTGGTTGGTGCTTCTCACAAACAGATCGACGAACCAGGCATCGTTGGCGTCAGCAGCGGCCTCTAGCTGCTCCGTAAGCATCTTGCCAATGCCCAGACGACGAGCCTCGGGCGCTACGGTGACTGCGGTGATGTGGGCGTGCCAAGGGAGGTAGTGCTCTGAGAACTTGTAGTAGTCTGGTGAGGACTCAAGTTTGCCCATGACTGTTTGTGTGTGTTAGTATACGGTAAGACAAAGAGGGATAAATATTCAATGCTCACTGTATCCAATTATGTTGCCATGCTGATCTTCGGCGACCTGGAAGAGCGATGGCCACTTTGCATGGTACTGCAAGTAAAATCCAAGTTCGTATGTTTCTGTAAAGGGGTCGAGGTTGCACTTTGAGAATTTGTTGAGATCATCTGGGCGGAATTGGCGGAAGTTGGCCATTTTGTGAGTGTCTCAGGAGCTCTTTCTGTTCCGATGCTGTGGTGATATTTTGGGATGAAGATATTTCCGTCGCGGGCAAAAGAAACCAAGATGATTGTGTAGTGCTGGTTTTTAACAGACCTACGTGACGACTACACTGCAAGCTGTTAGTGCAGTCTGCTTTGACGTCGCTCGATCATAGCTGCCCAACTGCTTAGACCTTCCCCCCAGGGGCAGGAGTGCCCCACGCGTGCCAGACAGCCTTGTTGTCAATGCGGGGCAGACGGTACCTTACCTGAGGTGGCACAGGCTCCTAGCTGGATTTGAGCGAAGCCATCTGCCCGCAAGCGATTCAGTTGCCCCTGGCATGAAGCCGCAGCTGGGGAGGGGACCCTTCAAGTTCCGCCTTCCCGTCTTGTTCCAAAGATGGATGTTTCCTTCTCGGTACTCTCGTCCGTAGTCGCTTGCCCCTGACAGTCCGAGCTTGAAGGTCAAACCGCTGAAATCATCCAAGAGGAAATTCCAGGACCATCACACTGCACCACCTCACTCGGAACCACTGTCACATCACTTGCAGCTACGTACTCCTAGATAGAGATTGCTCAATGCCCCTGGCCACGACTACGAATCACCGCCCGCGCTATTCTTCCAAGTCCCCATCCACTCTATCCACCTCAACACTTCATCACTTTCAAAGCCAAAGCAAGACTTGCCTTTTTGCACCTCTATAGCCAAGGTGCTGTGTTCCTCATTGTTTCGAGACAACAAAAGGGAATCCGACGCACTCGCGAACATCCCTAGCATAGCCCGAAACAGTTGAGATCCCCCTCACCGACCGAGACCGACCGCCCGCCCGCCCGCCCAACAACTGCATCTCTCAACTCGTCCTACGGATTTGCGCCTGTCCCTCTACCTACCGCTTAACGAACTCCCGTTTCATACGGCCCATCTCTCTTAGCCATCTATTTTAATCATACCAACTCTCCAGGTGCATCGATACTGCGCTTTGTCGCCTCGCTCCGCTGTAAAGGGAATCCCCAGTTGATTGGACCACGAAGAACCGACCGCAACCTGCGCCGCGCACCGCTATAAGCAGACACGACCCGTTCGTCGCTCCGAACACTTCTCGCCTTGTTCGTCTACCGCAGGGGGAGTGAATCAGCAGGGAAACATTGCTTACGCACAATCCAACAAAACACCAAGCCCACCCATGATGCCGCCGTCTTCACCGCAAACACCACGGCACTCGCCGTACCCCTCCATGGAGAACCTCCGTTCCGCAGCGTCCTACTCCCCGCAAGAGGGCCGCGCCCTCTCACACAAGTCGTCCTTCAACGACCCGTTAACGCCCTCACGAAACAGCTTTAACTCCTCGGTGGGTCCCACGATGGACATTGGCATGTTTGGAAACGGAGGTATGGACAACGGCGGCGGGTTGGGTAATCTAGCGGACGAGCTAGCAGACGCCTTTTCAGACGGTGAAGACGACTACTTCGAGGGTCCAGAAGGCGAAGAGGCACCCAACATGGATGGCAAAAGTGAAGAAGAGGACCTGCTCCCGACGCCCATGCCAAAGGACGGGGGTGGTATACGGGATAGCGGTGTTGACGTGGCAAGTCCCCGGAGCCGCCAGCGCGCAAGTCTAAAATCACAACTCTCACCGAACGGAAGGGGCCACCATCACCACCACCGCCGGAAGGGGAGTGAGTACGACGGAAGTGAATACGGTTCTGAGTCAGACCTAGAGCCATCTGGACTATCGCCCAGGCTGGTAGAGAAGATGGCTGAGGTCGAGTCGCTTGCGCGAAGAGGCACAGAAAACAATGGCTCAGCGGCCGACGGGGCATTCCAGCGAGTGACTGAGGGTCTCCGCGATCTAGGCTCACAAGCCGGTGTGGAAGGTGGTGCTACAAGGTTCGTTCTCAACCCACCCCATTCTTACTAAACATGTCATGTATTAACCGCCCCTTTTCTCCAAATAGACTCATAACCGCCCACTCGGCCCTAACAACCCACCTAACCCACCAAACCCGGCAGCTACACAATCTCACCTTCCCGCTCCTCTCCCCACTCTCGCCCGCGCCGGACGCCGAAGCGATCGACGAACTGCTGCCCATGCTGGTCAGCCTCTCGTCATGCATGCCGCGGCCGTCAACGGCCGCCTTCGCCCAGCTCGCCTCGCTGCACACTATCACCACGGACCTGGTTCACACGCTCAACTATTTGTCCGATACGCTGCACATGTCCAGACAAACGACGACGACAGCGACAAGAAGACTCAAGAGTGCGCGCGAACTGGTGGCGGAGCTCAAGCGCGAGGAAGAATTGAGGGAGCAAGGAGAGCGCTGGCTGAGCAGGGGTAACTGGAGCGAGAGGCTGCGGAATCGCGAGTGCGCACATGTCTGCGGCGAGGTGGTGGGCGGGTTTGAGGAGGTGTGTAATACTTGGCGGAAGAGATTGTTAGCGCAGGAAGGAGGGGGTGGTGGTGCTGGTGCTGGGGAGGGGCCCGGGACGGCAGGGAGTGTTGAGGCTTGATGAAGAGGGAGGCAGACTTGATGATATTGGGGTTTTGCGGCATTCTGAGATGTGGTTGTTTGGTTGGTAAGCATTCACAAATGAAGAGATTTATAACAAATAAGGTGTTTGACGATGATGAATGGAGAGAAGGGAAGGGAAGGGAAGGGAAGGGAAGGGAAGGGAAGGGAAGGATTGACAATATAGAGCAAGAGCAAGAACGCGGCGCATATACTTCCAACACTTCACTTAGTGTGAGGAATAAATTTTGTGAGCGTTCTAGAGAGAAGGAGAGCGGGTACACACTATATATAACGACGGAATGATGACCTCCAACTAATATGTCTTATATACAATACAGTAGATGGGTAAATAGAAAAATGAAACCTACGATCGACACTAGTCGGAGGTATTCGAAGGGCCTAAATATGAGACTCTGTCAAGGCTCTCACTATCTCCACTAGAAAATCCATATCCAGGAAATCATGGCAACACATATTTCACGCTTGTTGAGCCCGATGACATCCATAATACCGTTACTTTAGGCCAAGTCTCCACCACCTACACATCGTCCACCCCTCACACACGTCAATTCAGAAATTTCAATTCTTTCAATGTAGTACTCCTGATTTTCTACGGGAAGAATAGGAAGTCTACTACCATAGATGACACACATCAAGACTTCCTAGTCCGACATATCCTCGTCCGAGTCGCACTCACTTCCGCACTCGCTCTCGCACTCGCTTCCGCAGCCGTGATGGTGGTGATGGTCATCATCTTCATCATCCTCTTCCTCCTCCTCTTCTTCCTCCTCATCCTCGTCGGCCTTGAGGCCGTAGTCATCGTAAAAGTGCGTAAGAGGCTGAACTTGAGTCTTGTAACCAATGGCCTCAAGATTCTTGACCATGTTCTGTAAAAGTATAACTGTGAGTGACTGACATAATAGAATGACAAGAAAAGAATGGGAAAGAAAGAAGGGGGGGGGCAATCTCACCTCTTCCATAATAGGAGCACAAGTAACCACAACGTTACTCTTGCCCGGCTCAAAGACAGGCAACACAATCTCCCGCAAAGCCTCGCGAATCTGATCGCCCGTCACCTCACGAATGCGCGCCAGAAGCTTCTTGTTCCAACCGGGCTCCTGGCCGCGAATGACGTTGCTGACAAAGTTCTGCTGCGCCGCCGCCGTCATGGTAGCCTGCTCGTCTGCAACAGCCAGCACCAGGCCGCTGATGGCGCCCTCAACTAGGTGCTTGTCCAGCGGCTCCTCCCCGGAAGCAATCTTGGCCACCATGTTCCTGCTGGCCTCGATAGCCTTGCTGGCGTCGGGCGACCGGTACACGTGGAACTGGATGTAGCCCGAGTCGGACTCGCGGCTAAAGTGGACGCCGTAGGCGAGACCATTGCCGCGGACGGCGTTCCAAAGGGGGCCCTCGGTGGTCTCAAGGTAGGAGAGGGCGACCAGGTAGGCGGGCAAGCGCGGATCCGAGTAGGACTTGATGCCGCTGGCGGTGCTGACGCTGAAGGAGGAGTCGAGCGTGGTCATGGGGATGATGACACTGCCGAAGGAGCCCGGGGCTTTGCCCTCGTCGCTCAGCATCTGGTGCGGGCGGACAACGGGCAGGAGATCCTTGGAGGTGTCGAGGTCGGGGATCTCGGTGAAGCTGTCCCAGGCCGCGATTGGGTTGGGAAGCTTCTCGACGTGGGCGGTGACAAGGACTCGGAGATTCTCGAAGGTGAAGAGACTACGGCGGAGTTCCTCGAACCAGGAGACGACGGTCTCGGGTTCCTTCTCGAGAAGTTTCTTTAGGCGACGGTAGTATACCGCCTTGACGAGCGTCCGCTTAGCGACAGAGTAAGACTCCGGCAGTAGATGGATGGACTGATCGACTTCGCGAGACATGACTCTGCCGTCTCTCTTCGCCTCAGGAATATCGGCAAGAGCCTTGACAACAGCGGCCTTGAGACGGACGGGATCGAAAACGATGTCAAACATCAGTGTGCGAAGCCAACTGATCATAGTGGTGTACTTGTCGAGGTCCACCTGGAACTGCAGAGCCATACCTTCGTTGTCACCAATGCGCGAGGCACTGGACAGGTGGTAGCTGATGGTGTCCTTCTCAAGTTGCTTGACGACGTCTTCAAACTCCATACGTTTGCCATTGCGCATAACCGGCGAGTTGAAGAAATTGTCTGCGAACAGGGGGAGGAGAGGCTTGAGCCGGTTGGGCGTCGCCGACGTTCCGATGTGCAGAGTAAGGTGTACAAAGTTGGTAGGTACGTCCTCAAACTGGATGAATAGAGGCTTAGCACCTTGGGGTGCTGCGTCGATGATCTTCTGGGTTGAGTTATCGGTGGTTCCGAGGCTGCGGGCCTTGCCGCTTCTTGCTGTCAACGACTCAATGAAGTGGATGGATGATGTATCAGGAACCGGCCACTGATCAAGCACCTCGGGAGGGATAGGCTTCTCATTGTTTTGCTTGGCCTTCTCAACCTTTTCTTTCAGTGCCTTCAGGCCCTCCTCTCCCAACTCTTCCCTCCTCTTGGCGAGACGCTCCTTCTCGGTCTTCTTGAGCTTTTTGGCGAGTTCCATGGAGGGCTTGCCTAGGATGGACACGTGAGGTGCGTCGGAAATCCACTTCTTGAGGAAGTCACGCCACTGCTGCTCTTCCCAGCTAGCGAGGACATCGTACTCGCCCAAGGTCTGAAGTTCCCTCAGGGTAGAGCCGTCACGCTTTCCGAACAAGTAGTCGGTGATGATATTGCTGGAGTAGAACTGTTCCGAACCTTCAGCATGGTACTTGATCTGACGCAACTCGCGCGAGATGCATTCCTTCATGTACTCCATATCGAGTGGCTTGGATGCAACCTCCTTCAGAAGCGAAATAAGGCGCTCCTCGACAAAGGCGAGCTTCTCGGTAGCGACACCGGTTGGCTGGAACCAGATAACGGAGTTGGCGCGAGTATCCCACCAGAAGGAAACTGAGCTGGCCAATTCCTCCTTTTCGACAATAGTGTTCTCGATCACAGACACGGAGGAGCCGCAGAGATATGTCAAGAGGATGTTGAGAGCCGTTGCTTGCAACTGGTCAACGCAGCTGGGACCGAAGAAGGCCACAACAATCTCGCCAGTAGACTCATCTTCCTCAGGAAACTCAACAGTCTCGACAACAGTTTCCTTCAGGGGAGGCGGTTGAGGAGAGTCGACAAATGGGCGCTTGAAGTTAGGATTAGGAGGGGGGATGTCGTCCTTGATGCTCTCCTCAAACTTATCCAGAATATCCAAGAGATTCTCATGGTTTGCCTCGCCGACGATGATGACAGCCAGGTTTTGAGGTTGGTACATGGCTTTGTGGAACTCACGGATGCGGTCTGGGGTCAGCACCCTGAGGGCATCCATCATACCGCCCGTTTCGTAGCGAAATCCCACATTTTCGGGGTACAGCAACCGGCGAGCCCGCAAGTCCATAAGCTCCTGGCTCGAGTATTGGATGGCCTGCATCTCGGAGTATACCACACCCGCATCATTGCCCTCGCCGTCGATATGGTGAACTTCCGTCACACACGCATCGTCGGTGAGGGTAGGAAGTATGACATGCTCTAGATATACGGGTAGGATCTGGGCAAAGCCGTCCCAACCGGCGGTCTCGAGCGTATACGCTGTGTGGTCAACAGCAGTCCATGCATTTGTACCAGAGTAAGCACGCCCAGCTAGCTTGTCCAAGAGACCCTTGTATTGGTAGTTCTTGGAGCCCATGAAGACCAGATGTTCCAGAGTGTGAGGGGCTCCGGAATCGTCAAAGATTTCGGTAGCGAGGGTAAAGTAACCGTTGATTTTGGGACCCTTGCGATCCGCCACAATGACCTGCATACCAGTACGCTCTGAGACGTACTGGGTAATTGTCGTCGGGGCATAGTCGGTTTCGAAGGTCTGCACCTTGCGGAACCTTGGTGCTGTCGACATGTTGCTGCTGATTGAGGGCAAAGAACCTTGAATATTACTGGGAAGAGGATTAGCCCATGGCAGTGAGATAGAAATTGTAACAGTGATTAATGCCGGGGAAAATCTCGGGGAGCCCACGGGTTGAGACGGGGCGTATGTAGCTGAGACCCCCTTCTCCTCATGCTCGACCATGATGTGAACTGAAGGGATGAGGTACCAAGAGTCTTGAGGGAAAATCGGCATGGTAATATCACAGGAAGTGATACTATGGTTGACCCGTGAGTCGGCCGTGTTGGCGACTGGAACTACTACACTGCCCCTTGCTAGAGTCCCGAAGAACATAACTGAGCGTTTGGAAGACAGAATCATTTTATGGGCCTCTGGGACAGGAGGAACACGCGATAAAATAAAACAGGATGCTTAGGGAAGGTACAATTGAAGGGGTTTTGTGGATGAAAAGGAAGCAAGGCTGGCAAAATATGGGTGTGAAGAAGTGCATCTCGAGGTGAAGTGTACGAGACTCTCTTACCAGCACAACTGTCTGGACGATGTTTGCCAGGTCGCTTTGAGGACGCTGCAGGTCGAGTAAGACCAGACAGGCGTGTTTGCTCTAGATGAAGCCGGCTCAGCAGCCTGGAGTCGACGTATGAGTAGTTGACGCAGGGTTGATTGATGGACCTTTGGGTACAGAAACGTGGGTAAATTTATCAGATTGCGGTCCGTGTTGTTGTTGACAGGAAAGGAAGTCCACCGGGAGAAAGTTTGCCCCTCCTCAAGACTGGTCTCTGGATGTAGGTTGCTCTTGCAATGAACGGGAAACAAGGGGGGCCGGAAGACTGGAGCACAGAGGCAGGACCCCGTGGGGAAAGCTCTGAGAAAGGAAATACATAAACATCGATCGATCTTGAACTCACCTTCGGCCCGTCGTCCCACTCAAAGTTTCACACTGACGAGTGAACGTAGAATAGATTTTTATAGACACGATCCTAGTCAGTATCTCTAGCTCCCGCAAGATGGAGGCTCACGACAGGAATGGAAATCCACAAGAACCGCTCGTATCTGCCACGACCTCGACGACAGCAGAAAATGAGGGGCATCCGGCGCTAATTACGGACAAGCACCACTGCTCAGCGGCAGCTGTCCGTCAGCTCTCTCTCACCTTCCGTCCCAGCGGCCGGGGACCTCAAGCTTTCAGGTCCCTTGACGGCCAGCCCGGTCCCGATTGGTGCCGCATCAAGCACGCCCCACATGATCTCCCCTAAAGCAAGTCTTGGCAGTACGTGCAGGGGGAGCTGTCAGTGGGTGTCATCAATGCCATCCATCAACTTATCGACAGCCAAACTGGCCGCAACTTGCTTGTCAACACCAACCAACAAAGTCCGCGACAACTGCGACATCTCAGCAACAGTACCTACCTAGTCCGCGCATGACACCACGAAGCACCTAGGCAGTCGACCGGACTTGGATCCGCTGCCACTCGAGTTACAATCGCAACCTCGAGCCACATAACCAGATTTGAAACAACATCCTATCAGGACAGCATGGCCGTTGCGACGCCAGACTCGCCGGCTGGGCAGATTGCTCAGGCCCTCGTAGACTTCTCAGTCGAGGGCGCATTTCCAGAAGAGTCGGTATCCTCCTTAACAGTAGACTCTGATGCGCTCCCAGCAGCCATTGAAGCACTCGCCAGTGCAAAGGCCAAGCTCCAGGTACCAACCATCACTTTTCGACCCACGCCTATTAACTCTTTGCTGAGGCTTCGCGCTTGTTTGTAGGCCGAGATACACACCATCAACGAAGAAACCGCCGATGATGTCCGAACATGGAAAGCAAACGCCCAATTGGTTCAAGACGACATTATTCTGTCAAAAGCTCTAGCGAACGATATCCTGAAACAGTCGGAAGCGCCACAAGCGTCAGGGAAGGCCATCGAGGAAGCCGAAACCAGAGCTGCCTTTCTCGCCCGCGAGTTGGACTACAACACACAGCTGAGAAACGCATTGAAGGGTATCAAGGCCGTTAACCAAATACTCGACCAAGTTGAGCAAGCGCGGGATGAACGCCGTATTCTCGATGCTCTACATCTTCTAGAACGTGAGCTACAATGCGTCTAAGAAGTGACTGAGTCGGTTGCTAACGTTGCGGCCAGGATCACGGAAAGCGGTCGACGCTGTGCCCGTCAACAAGTCATGCCGTGCTATCAAACTCCTCGATATTAGAACCTTCGAACTCAAGTCGGACGTTTATCAAGTATTCGATCATGTGTGGAATACTTTAATACACGTCGATATTGAGAGTCACAGGGTGTCAATAAGTGGCGTGAAGCAGGGTAAGCCGCAATCTCTACAGGTGGTGGCACACAAGATCTGACCCATCGTAGACGAACCCATGAGCCTATCCGATGCCGTCGTTGGGCTCAAGGCATACAACGAAGTCGATCAGCGCGCAACCCAACTATGGCATGACATTGACAAGGCTATTTTTGCTCCCAGACTCGACACTAAGCAGGAACGTTTACCCAGTATCAAGATTGATGGAAACACTTTGGAGTTGGAGGGAACGTCCGATCCATCTATTGAGGCTGTGTTCCAAGACTTAGAAAAGGTTTTTGCCTTCCTGGTCGAAAAGCTACCACCAGAATTGGTCGAGACTATTTCAACTGTCTTATTACCAGGTCTCATCCCAACTATGACCAGAACTTGGCTCGACTTGGCCGTTCCTTCCTCGCTTGAGGGAATGGACAGATTTCAAACGACAATATCAACAACAAAGGGCTTCTGCACCACTCTTAAAGGACTGGGATTATCGCATCTCAATGAACTACAGGAGTGGACCGAAAGCGCACCTCGGGTCTGGCTATCAAAACGAAGAGAAGCTGCTCTGGACCAAATTAGGACGCAATTGTCTCGAGGACTGGGCGCATCAAAGCAGGTTGAAAGGGTTGAAAAACAGGTGGTTTCAAAGTCGGAGGGCCAGCAGTTGGCTGCCAATGGAGCCAAGGTTACCGAAGACGATGGTGGCTGGGATGCATGGGAATCCGATGGCGAGCAACAGACTGGCGGGCAACAAATCAGTAAACCGGCTGCGACAACATCAGCCACCGAATTATCCGCGGACGCTATCGATGATGCGGCCGATGCCTGGGGCTGGGGTGAGGAAGACCCTGAACCGGATAAGGTGGAGGAACCTCAGCAGAAAAAACAAAAGCAGGAGGGGGAGGAGGACGACGATTCTACCGAGGCCTGGGGCTGGGGCGATGACGCCCAGAATGACGATACTGCACCGGAACAAACACCAACCGCTCCATCAGCTTCGTCAAAACCGCAGACACGGGAGTTGACTTTCAAAGAAACCTACAGCATCTCATCCCTGCCACAGCCAGTCCTAGACTTGATATCTGCTCTCGCCGAAGACGGAGCAGCATTGACCCAGGAGAACTATGCCGACAGCCCCGTTGCTGCTGCTGCCGCCGGACTCTTCAGTCTCCCCACTCTTGCGCTGGCCATGTTCCGTGCCGTCGCCCCCCACTACTACGCTCCAGATGTTGGCGGAAACATGTGAGTACACAACCGTACTTTATACACAACGTCGAGTTGCTAACCCGGTCAAAGGTTTCTTTACAACGATGCTACCTACCTATCGGAGCGGCTAGCTGAGTTCGCCGAGGAGTGGGTGAAGAGGGATAATATCAGCACACGGGCGCAAACATTGCTAAGACTAGATAACGACATCAAGTCCATGCAGAGTTTCGCAAATCGTGCCTACAGCAACGAGATGAGCATCCAGAAGACGGTGCTCAGGGATCTCCTAGGGGGTGAGTCGTGCCCTTTTTAACAACAGCCTCTCCTACACGTAACCCCTTCTCTCTTTAACCTCTTACTAAACCCAGCTCTCATTACCCCAGGCGAACAAAACCTCATCCAGCAAGACGACACGGAATCCTGCGTCTCCGCCGCCGTTGCCCGAGTGCGCTCTCTCGCCATCGCCTGGGAATCCATTCTCTCGCGCTCCGCCTGGCAGCAAGCCGTTGGCTCGCTCGTCGACGCTGTCGCCAACAAGATCATTGGCGACGTCATGGATCTGCCCGGCATCGGCCAAGACGAGGCTTACAACATTGCCAACCACATTGCTTCAGTCACGGCTTTGGACGATCTGTTCCTGCCTAGTCGCTTTGCCACCGCGGAAGGTCGTAATTTTGAAGCAGAGAACGAAATCCCCACGACGGCGCAGTACGCGAGTTCGTGGTTGCGCCTTAAGTACCTGTCGGAAGTGCTGCAGAGTAACCTCAAGGACGTGCGGTATCTGTGGTTGGAAAGCGAGTTGAGCTTGTATTTCTCGGCGGACGAGGTGGTGGATTTGGTGAATCTTAGCTTTGAGGATAATCCGCGGACGAGGGAGGTGCTTAGGGAGATTAGGGCGAGGCCAAATCCTCTTGGCTGAAGAGAGCTTACTTATATGTAAAGGGGGGTATCGTTGTGCTATTGGTAGTTGTGATAATTGCAAGCATTCGTTTTACGAATGGATGGGCGACAAGCTTGGCGGTTGAGGTTATTGGAATGTTCATACCGCGCGGGCTGTTTTTCCTTCCCAACTTCTACTCATACAAACCACAGGCGAAGAGGTTGGCTCGGGCCGGGCAATTGTTAGAACTTGCGCAACTCGAAGCTTTACAAACTCTTTTCATTTTCGTCCTCTCCGTTCTTCAATCCTCCAGCAATTAGCACCCACAGCTAATGCAGAGGCTCCGCAGTGAGAACCATTCGAAAAGAAAGTACAGATATACGCGGAAAGCCCTGAGGTGGTTGTCTGTATACCTATCCAGTTTTCTATCCATTATTTCTTTTCCTTCATCCCTTTTAGACTCTGGTAACTTGTTCCCTCTCGTTTCCCTTGATTTTCTCTCTCTTTTTTATTACCCTAGCTCCTCTCGCTGGTATTGGTCTGATTTGCCTGCCGAACTTCCGCCTGGCAATGACTTGTCTGTCTTGCTGGCCTGCTGTCGCCTACGAAAGAGACAGGGTGCGGCCATTTTTCATAGATTATGCGCCCTTGAACGAGCTCGTCAAGTTTTCCTTCTCTTCCCCGACTTTTGAGGTGCAAGGCACACATAAAAAATATGGCGTTGTGCAGGATAGTATGGAATCTATCCTAGCATCCGAGGGAAAACCAGAGGAGGTGTGGCAGGTTCACTGAATGTGAAGAAATGTTCGTGAAAAAGATGCTACGGGGCTTATTGCTAGCTAGGCAAATAGCTTTACTACCCTTTATCTGCGCAGATGACGGACAACTGTCGACTCGAGGTAGCTTTTGTTCTTGCCTGTGCCTGTAATTGGCCAAGCTAAGGTTGCGTTTGATCTGCTGCGTGCCTGCCTGTTTCCTTTCTTTTCGCGTCTCCCAAACGAACGCGATTCGCTTTCTGTTCTCTGTCTTGCTGCCTCTCCACTTAACCAATGGGTATCAAATCTTCCTCCTCATGTCACTTCTTCCCACCCTGCGCTCGTCCTTGAATTGTCGTTGGTTTGAGGTAAACAAACTTCTCAACAGATGATGTTGACTTGGTGCTTGTTCCCAGGTGACCTGTCTTGGCCACTGATTTTCATATCTAAAGCTAACAAAAGCTTTTCTAGATTGCGTCTGCGATGGCTGAGTAACACTGACGCACACCTTTTGGCATTTTTCAGTCCGCTCTCCAGTGCATTCCTTCGTTCCTCTCCCCGAGATAAAGCTCGACAGCGTATAGTCCCATGGTGGCAGCGACGTTGACCCAACGCCACGGGTTTCCACCGGCGTCACCAGCCCGGAGAGTCCACCCGATATCATCACCGTTGTTGGATACGCTGAAGTGCTGCAGCAATAAGCTCGTGTACACGGCGATGAGGATCGAAGGAGAGAACCAGCTGAGGAAGCCTACAAGGCGGTTAGCCCCGTCGGTCTCTTCCAGTAAACTTGGCTCGTCCATGAGAGCTCTGGCGCCGAGCTCCCGAACAGCCGGAATGATGCGGGTGGCGCAGTAGAAGACGATAATCCGGTAGGTCAGCGAGATTATAACGCTGGGTGTAATGGTTTGGAATGCGGCATAGAGGAACTGGAAAGAAGTGTTGAAGGCTTCGGGCAGACTGCTGAGGATGTGCATCAATGTCGAATAGGATGCCATGATGATTGGGGGCAGAGGCGGGAAATCGGGCTGAAGCGAGGCCGCTTGCTCGGCCGCAGCAGCAGCTTCGGCAGACGGCTGATAGTCGGTAAAGATCTGATAGACGCATAGAACGATGTAGGCAAAGAGGAGAGATGACTCTACGGCGTTGCCGCGCCCGCTACCAATTCCATATGCTCCCAGGAATACGGCCGACGTCATTGTAGCTCCAATGAGTGTGGCATCGATGGTGTTTATTTCGGGGAAGTGCGCAACCCTCCAGAGGAAGTAAACGGCACTGGAGATGATGGAACCAGAAAAGGCAAGAAGGAATATCTAACAAAAAAAAAAAGATGTCAGCAACATGATTTCCAAGAGATTCAAAGCGAGAGACTTACCATCCATGTATCGCCTCCACCGCGAGTGACGAGCCATCTTGCAACCCGGCCAGCAGTCTGTATCACCAAGAGAGTGCAGAAACCCTCCAGCAGTTGGAAAACAGGGCTCGAGTAACTCAGCGTCTTGTCCCAAGCTCCCAGAGCGACATTCTCGACAAATCCATGCTGGCCAAAGAAGTATTCGCCCCAAGTGCTGGGCTTGTGATTCGCAGTGGCAGAAGAGAAGGTGCGCGATACCCAGCCGGCATTCTCAGCATCCACTGAGAACCTATTCAGAGACCAGATGAGAAGGGCTGGAATGATGATCCATTGCGACAAGCCGACACTGCTAGTGAAGAACCAGCGAACTCGTGAACTCTCCGGAGTAAGGAGCTTGCTGGTGCTGTAGATAAGGTAGAAGATGAAGAGGGATAGCGAGTAAGCTAAACCGGCATCACGACCGCCAACGTCGAAGGCAATGGGTATTAGGAGAACGATGCTTAGCAAAAAGATTGCACTCGTCGAGGCGCTGATGAACCACATGGTTGCGGCGGGCGATGGTTGTCCGCCCGCTGCCGAAACCGACTATCGAATGTCGAAGACAAGAGGGCGCGTCGGGGTTGAAAACCTATCGAGAAGGTCGGCGAAACAGTCGCGGTGACGGGAAGCTTCCTTGGATGTGGTCGATGATGCAACCAAGGCCAGTTCGTCTACCCGAGAGTGACACACGAGCAAGGAGTGATAGACGGGCAAGACACGGAGCACTGTGTGGCCAAGGCCTTGACGTCGCGGGGTTGTGTTGAAGAATGGCAGTTGACAGAGTTCCGTCTTTTCTAGAAACACCTTCTGCAGACTACCAGCTAGAGTTTGTCTTGGAACAGGTTGCAATGGCCTCTCGTTCTTTTTCTTTTCTTTTTTTTTCTTTCACGGAGCGTGTATCGCGTAGGTAGCAGGCATGAAGCGGACGTATGGTTGGTGTATCGGCCAATCGAGTCGATCGGTTGGTCCGTGGTCGGTCGGTTCAAAGGTTCGATCGTTTGGGATCTTGGCTGGATGTGATTCGATGAAGTGCTCGATTATGCAGTATGACTGTTAGGTGCTACACAAATAGCAGATACTCCCGTGAAGGCAATGGGATCGAATGGGAGTTGAATCCTGATATCTGTCTCTCGACCAAACCGTCGGTGTATATTGGAAGTTTGGAGGTGGTGACCGCGGTGGTGGTGGGTGGCAGTGGAACGGCTGCTGACTGCTGGGTGAAGGAGGGGAGGGGCCCGGGCTGAAACAAGAAAGCGGGAAACCCTTGGGTCTCCAATTTCTAAAAGATCTGCAGTCGCTAGTGAGGGGAGTACATAGCAACTCTCCAAGGCTGACCCTTCCTGGAATGACAGCTTTTCAGGGTTTTTGGTGGTTGTGACTTTTTGTCGTGTGCTCCTCATGCCCCTGCTCCACTGCACCGTCCTCGAGGAAAAAACACATCCACAACCCTTGCTCGGCGCCTCCCCCCTCATCTTGGCCAGCGGTCTAGCCAAGCCGCCAATCTAGAACTGCTAGCGCCTTGATAGCGCTGATAACGGCCGGCTCTCTAGCTCCCTCCACATGAGCTGAAGGTGGGCTTTTTTGAGTGTGTGTGTGGGCGCCACGATTGACAAATTTCACGTGCTTCCAGTTGCGAGGTTCTTACATTATTGTTTAAGAGTCCGCCGAGTTGAAGTGAGATATCTCTACCCTACCTTTTGTTCAATGCGTTCCCAGTTTCATCCATTCACACTTTTGAATTGAAATAAGCATAACGCCCCTACCTTAGTTATCATGGCTCGTCATCACCAGTGTGCCGCGTTCCCAAGGGGAGGTACCTACTGCATGACTTTGCTTGGTGTTGGAAAGAGCTGAAGCTTCCCCTCCTTTAACTGGTTCAATCCCATACCTAAAAGGACACGATAACCTCCCGTCACATGCTGAAAGGAGTGCGTGCAAGAAATTTGCTTTTCAAACTTGCCCGTTCCACAACCTGCTCAGTCATGGCAAATGTGATGCTCACACGGATAAGTCTGGACAAATTATGGGAAAGATGATAACGTTGACTTGAGACATGGCGTATATCACTTCAACAAAGTGCTTAGATGTTCCATGGTTTATGACCAAGCCCACTTTCATAAATGCATCCTCCATGTCAAATTCACCACAATCACAAAAAGCGCCAGTGGTTTAGTGGTAAAATCCATCGTTGCCATCGATGGGCCCCGCGTTCGATTCGCGGCTGGCGCATTTGTTCATTGAGCGAGTCAGTTCAATTTTTAGTTTTATGTTTTTTATTTTTTTGGGGGGTCTTCTTGTTTGCTTGCTTCGTTGTGTTATGTTGCTACCATTCGAGCACCTAAACGCGAGTTGGAAATAATTTCAACTCCATTATCGAGGAAAACAAAGTTGACACTTCCTAGCAGTGCCCTTTTTAAATGTTGGCGAAACTCATGAGACAACATCCAATCCAACCACATATTCCGCACATCCTAGCTCTGAAAGAAGGTGGAGCTGGTCCGGTGCTGTCCGGGCCTTGCTTGCTCGGTGGTCCTGATCTGAGCCGATGTTCAACCTCGACAACCCTTCCGTCAGCATTCGCACAATGGACTTTGTGTCGTTTTGCATGGTGTAGGTTTTACTAATGATAGTCTATTGTCCTCCAATCGGTTTACGGAGAACGCCCTCTCAACGCTTCCGAGGCTCAACATTCATAGTTAAATTGGTGAGCAATGTTGGGAGGTCAGCGAGGAGGAACAAGAGGCGTGTACTGCTGCTTCAGGGTCAGTTTCATACCAAGAATACTACTATGGTTACGGTCAGGATGTATGTTTTACTTGCCTTGTCTCCTCGTGTGCCATGACTGCATCCTCCATCCTTCTACTGGCCACGAGATTGTCAGGTTGCACCGTCTGCCCACCATCGACGCCGATCATCTCAGCCCTGCTAACGAGTGTTGGTTTCTTTGGGCTGTCCTATCCTAACAAATCTGTTACATAGACTGTCACAGGGCAAGATACTAAGCTGTGAAATGTGTTGTCTGGGCTATATAGTGCGTGCTTTCGTAATCTGTTTAGCAGACAGAACAACGAATCTATCTCTTGTATGGTGTCGTGACTCAGTGGCACTGCACACCTATAGCCCGTATTATAGATGAACTGTACTATGTATAGTGCGAAAACTTTGGAGGTGGGAGGGTTGTTGGATACTAAGATCAAAGGTACTGCTTGTATTCGAGTTGAGGGACGTTACTGCGTTTTGGCAACTGTGAAGATCAAGTATGGGCCATGACAAGTGAAAAGCAACTCGAAACTCTTCAGGCACTGAGACTTTGAGCAGTGACACCTGGGTAAGGTTTCAAACACTACTGGCCCTGGATAGATCAAAAAGAAGTGAAACAACGAAACTGTGCAGAACGTAGCCAAACAGTGACAGAGTTTTCAACTACCCATTCATGTGATGTTCTGGTTGGGCTCTCTCGCTCTCAACCCAGATGAACACTTCCCTTTTGGGTAAATGCAGCACCAATGGCTAAGGAGCTTCATCGGTTCATTACACAGAAGCAGAAATATTTCCAAAGCAGGGATGACTTTCCAACAGTTCGAAACGAGAGGCTTGACACGAGTGTTCTTATCCATCAAATTGGGAGATCGACAGCAAGCCCCATATCCAGGATTGATAAATAACAAAACTTAGGGACGATCGCATCGATAACATCACAAAAGAGAACACGTCAAGAAGTTGAGCTCTGGCTTGCCCTTTCGCGAAATTCGGCTTTCAGCACCCTTTATAAAAGGAGCTGGTGACGATCGGCGGACGTCTCGAGTGCGAGGCGAACGGCAAAGTAGGACACGATGACCGTCTTTGGCGCAACCACCCACCCACGTCGGCTGGCAGAACGATGATCATCTATTGCCTGCATGTGCAAGATAAGTGCGTTCGCGCTAGTTACCGCTGCGAAGAAGATGGGTTCGAATAGTAACCAAAAACGTCGCTGTGCGTCAGCCGCCGTCTTTTGCGGCTCAGGTTACAACACCATTTGTTTTCGAAGAATCGAACGTGAACCTCGTGCGATATCACGAAGCAAACATGCTCTCAGCTGGTAAGCATAAGGGATAAAGGCCAAGCTGGAGAAGATGCTTGGTGTTCGGCCTGGAACCACGATTGATCGGACAGCCGACCATATAGGGCTGCAGGCCCTGGATGTAGATCGACGTTGCGCAAATGAGAGTGCGGGGGGTTGTTTAATGACACCCTCAGTGAGACAAAACGTGGTTTAGGGTAGTAATTTATACTCCCTCTAGTGTTCGGGGCGGCAGCAAAGCTGCCTTCCTTCCCAGGGCAAGGAGAGGCTGAATCCTGGGTTGGAACGTACACAGTAGAGGTAGCTGAAATGTAGAGGAGACCTAGATAAAAATGTAAGTTGATGCCGTAGTTAGTACACGCGGGACTTTGTATGGGGTCCGCCCGCGAAAAGCATTCAACCCCTACGGTAATTGCCCACTTACATACAGACCTGGGACTTCGGGCAGCAGAAACCTTTGCAACTAATGGGTCAATTTGCGTGTGTTCGCAAAAGGGGGTGATTGCGACAGAAGAGGTAGTTACTGTACCCGGATTTACTTTGGCGTCCCAGCTCGTTGTAGGTATATATAAACGTTTGAAACGTGAGGCAAAAGGAGGTTTCTGGTGGCTCAAGCATAGGGTAGATGGGGCTCGAAAGTGAGGCGAACGAGACCTCTAATCAAACGAACCAGTAAGAAAACAAGCATTCAAACCGACCAAAGCTTGAGCACTACAACGCAGCATACCATGGACATGCAGAATTATGTGCCCTTGCAGTGGCCAGAGTAAATCAAGCGGTGTAGGCCCAACGATGAACAATATACTTGGTGACCCGATCTGGATGCCCCTCTTGGACAGCAAACATGCCAAATAGGCCATTGTCAGCCGATTGAGGCCTTTGGCGCCCCGTGCGCGAGATATATAACGAAACCTCTGCCCAGCTCTGTAGCTCGATACCAGCAATTGAGGAGTTATTGTCCCCTTGAATCATCCAGGAAGCCGAAATGTCGTCAATGAACAAGTACTGGATCCCACAATTGGATATCCACAAAAAAGTCATCACTCAAGAGCTCCAGTATTATCTGGGACCTCAAGCAACAGTCAGACCCTTTACTCGAGAGGTGTGAACCGGCCTATCCTTAAGCCTAGCTATGGCTGACAGAGGTGACTCCAGGGAGAAGATGGATTTCTGATCACGACACCCGGGCCATGCCTAAGCGATGTGAGCTGCCGGAGATTTCAATCCCAATCCGTAGCATGGTCAAAGCTGATATGAAACATAGGAGCAAATCGATGATATTTGCGTTAAGTCCAAAGAGATGTGGGAAAAGCAAGCAGCAGCTCGAGCAGTCGGGACCCCGAATAAACCTCTCAAGAGGCCGCTACATCAGCCCGTTGTGATAGCCCAGGCAAGCTTAGACGGAACAGAGCCCTCGAAGAGAAGAAGAGACGACCGACGGGATGACCGGCGAGATGACAGGAGAGGCGACCGCAGGTGGGGTGAACAGAGGAGTCGACGCGACGACCGAAGCTGGTCCAACGAGAGACGCCGTGATTGAAGCAGGTAATCCACAATCTCGAGTGTCATATTGTTCTAATAGCAGGGCAGGAACCATATTGCTGGACACTATGACCAAGTGTCTAGGCTAAGCGAATGGATTGAAACATAGCAGGAGATTTCTGTGAATGATGGATGCATCATTCAGATGGAGTTTGGACCATAGCCGGCAAAGGCACAATGGCAACAAATAAGAATCCAGAATGTTCGATGCTGACGGCGTAACAAGCACATGCTTTATGTCGCATATATGGTGGATGATGATGGTGTTCTCCGCAACAATGTGCCATCTGGCGTGACTGTGACCCAGTGAACATCGCACCGTCTATGCCCATCGGATAAATGCATCCATATGTTGAGTTCCATATTAAGAATGATACTCCTGGAATCTGAACAGTCTATGAGCGTAGCACGACTGGCTATTTGCTGTTTTGAAGTTGTGCGTTTTGTGCATGACAAAGTTCGAGAAGCAAGGTACACCTTCCATCTGGTATGAAATGTCTTCGCCGCATCTATTACCGAGAGAAACCTGCAGTGTACCCAATTGCAGCATGGAAGTGGTCGATATCTCTGCAGAGATGCATCGTAAATCCAATGGAGATCTGAAGACGGTTTGACGTAATTTCGGCTCAAAACTCGGGTAGCGCCGTGAGCAGGTCCGTCGAAAGAGCGATCGATAATGGGAAAGCCTTTCTTACGTGGTGAAATAAAGAACTGGTGGCTGGGTCGGAAATCTGACTGATAGGTGCCACGGCAATGGGCCTTGAAAGAGGCGTTCTGGGACAATGCCGTGAGACTTCAAAGGAAGCTAGAACTGATCCGCTTGGCTGCTCCCGATATCAGGCACGGATGTTACCCGGAAGGTGAAAAGCAAGGCGACTATCCCAACGGCTTTGACAGGCAATGGTGGTTTGCACTCTTTCTCGCTGAGCCTCAAAGCATGAACGTATGCTTTGTTTCCCGAGAGGTCCAAAGTGGAGAAACATGCTCCCCTAACACCGTCATTGTCCGTTCTTGCTGGCTGAGTTTGGAGCTGTGATGCTACAGCAACTTTTCAAAGCATCTACCGATTCGTCGTATCGCTGTGTGTCGAGTGGTCCGGAAGACCAAATGAGAAGAGCGCGGATGCGAACCTGCGTCTGAACCCGTGCCTGAAATGTTTCGTTTTCTCTCATCGAGCCTTTCCTGGCGGGGAAGGGATTCACGGCAGTGACGTACCCAATCACGTTCACCCACTCTCCAATACGTACCTGGTCCGACTTGAGGGTCCGTAAAGCCAACGTTACGTCCACCAAGGCGACGACGCACCGAGAGTCCTGGGCCTGGTGGTGATGCTGTAGCGTCAAAACACCAGCCACCGTAGAGTAAGAAGTCACACTGGTATACACCAATTAGTTATTATGTTCATAGATGGCAGCTCTTGAGACATCAACGTGATGGCGAAAATGGCATGGACGAAACTTGGATATCTGCCCAAGTGGAGGGCAGGTTATAATGGTTCTCCCACGATAATGGATCCGTACTTCGTTTCCCAGGGTTGCTCAGAAAGGTTGGGAAGATCAATCGAGACAAATCAAAATCTTTGGAATGCGAAGAGTGTATGCTCACCAACCCCAAAACCGAACTTTGTCGCCTTCCTTCTTCAACGCTAAGTCTGGTAGCAAACATAGCTGAGATGGAAGAGGACCATTGGACATGGTCATCGAGGGAAGGACAACTACTAAAATGATATAAGCTTGGAAAGATTGGATGAAATTCCGCGAAGCTCATTCATGGACGGAGGAATGGTGGTTGTCAGACTTCCCTAAGTCGTTGTATCAGTTCAAAGCTGAAAGTATCCGTCTGTCATTGATGGTGAAGTTGTGGTTGAGTGAGAGTGCACCACCATTTCACACGACTCGCAAAGTGAGGGAGGTCACGGTCCGAGCTCCAGCAGGAGTGGTCGACTAACAACTCAGGGACTGACTAAGCAGCTGGAATCTATCACGTGCTGGTATATCCTTATCGTTCAAGGTGCGGCTGGGTACTCGGACACGTGCAAGGATGCCGGAGGCAACGGTCAATACTGTAGTGCACACTAGTTGTATGGACCACGGCGAATTCCAGGTGACCTTGCTGGTCCGATTTCCCGTGCATCATACGCGCGCCCGATAGGCAATCACATCAACCACCACGGAACAGTCGAGCGTTCGTCATCGCAGTATTTAGGCTGCGACTTTAACCTCACTTTCATTTGTTTCCTGCGTCTTCAACCTGATACCGATCCGTAAACCGCAAATTCAGGTCAAATCATCCGCCAGGCGGCCAAGTGATATCTGGTTGGGGAATTCAACCTGGTTTGCGCCCCGCCAACATTTGGAGAGTCGTCATCGCCTACCAAACGCCCAACGCCGTTCCTCGGCAGTAATTCCTTTGCTCGACGTCCCACCTCCCAGGCATCGTGACCTAGTCCACCTATTGTACAAACACCGCTCGCCGTCCCTATCATACGCACCTCTAGCAAAAAGACAACATGTCTGGAATTTGGGGCTGGTTTGGCGGGGGCTCAGCCGCGCAGAAACGCAAAGATAGCCCCAAGAATGCCATTCTCGGCTTGCGAACGCAACTGGACATGCTCCAGAAGCGTGAGCGCCATCTACAGAACCAGATCGATGAACAGGATGCCATAGCACGAAAGAACGTCAGCACGAACAAGACTGGTATGATGCCAGACCTGACTGGCTTTCTGCATGACTTTTGGCCGACAAGAAAGCTAACGTGTGTGGTTGTCTCCAATAGCTGCGAAGCAAGCCTTGCGACGCAAAAAGGTCGCCGAAAGCACCCTCGAGACCACGCTGGGTCAGATCACCACCCTCGAACAGCAAATAAATGCGATTGAGTCTGCCAACATCAACCGGGAGACCCTGGCCGCCATGCAGGCAGCACGTGAGGCTATGGGCAAGATTCACGGCAAACTCACCCCCGAGAAGGTCGACGAGGAAATGTTAGTGTTGACTTATACCGCTTCAGACTTGTTACCAAGTATTGTGTCGATGCTAACAACACTGTAGGGCGAAACTCCAAGAAGCGAACGATCTCAGCAATGAAATCGCCACAGCTATTACCAGCGCCAACATTGGACAACCGATTGACGAGGGGGAGCTCGAGGACGAGCTTGAAAAGCTTCAGCAGGAGGAGGTGGACTCGAAGCTACACGAAACAGGTGGATCGATTCCTGTCCATGATAAGATCTCTCTTCCGGCAGCCGGAACCGGCGCACGTGAGTATCCCTGTATCGTATGCATAAGTGACGACTTTGACCATGGATTCGCTGACGCCTCCTTTAGTCAAGGGCAAAGAGAAGGCGAAGGCGGTTGTCGAGGATGACGAGGAGGAGGAGCTCAGAAAGTTGCAGGCCGAGATGGCTATGTGAGTTAGGCACGCAGGCCTAGGAGTATACAGAAGAGGAGGCATGGAAACGGGGATATACAGGATGCGATTTATGTGCGTGGCACCATGTCGGTACCGCTTTCCATTGTTGTGTCATTGGCTTTTGTTATTGGGAAGTAGGAGCTGGTTACGGTTGTTCCGTGTTTGTTTACCTCTTACTTTTTCTTTTCCTTTTTTTCTTTTTTCTGTTCTTCCTGATTCCCTACTCTGTCCCTGCAGAGTTTCGACTCGTAAGACGAGCGGCGCTGGCGTTTTGGGAGGGTTGGCACGGTTTGGCATATGAGTGATAATTATGCACAGTAAGGGAGAGGAACAGGACTGGTTGGTTGGACTGGTTCATGTTGCACGCATTGTGGATGAATTTAAGATATCAATCTACATATCCATAGTCATCATTCCTCCCCAAGCTTCTCGGGTAAGGCATGTACTACGTATATGCAGCCTAGACCAAGACCGACGCCGAAGTAATTTCGGTGTTTTTGAGGTCCTTGATCCAAACGGTCTCGTGATCAACTGACAGACGATGTGTAGGCATGGCGGATCATGGCTGTTAGTAATCCGCATTCGCAGAGTTGTTTGTTGACTTTGACATGAAGATCTAGACCCCAAATATTCTAGATATAGTTTAATTGCACACCCGCTGTTCGTTCGTGTGCAACAGACCAAGGATCAGCGAGATGCTGTGTCTTGCTGGCGGGCTCTCGCTGGTGGCCATGGTTCACGAAACGGAGGTTGGTCACACCGCCCTTTTTGGGAACATCTTCACCTGACCTCACTTGATGACAGCTAGGTTCGCATAACCCCCCCGGGACTCGTGGAGTGGCACGCATTTGTAAACCCCCCCCCTGCCCTCTGTGTTCCTGTTCCTGTGATTGAGCCTCAAAACCTGGGGTGCATAGGTACCTAGTTTCCCAGCCTCGCAAGTCGCAAGTGCAACAGCTTCCCCTGTCGAACAACAGCCGATTGGAAGGAGGAAAATGGATTCGGCGGCGGCGGCGGCGGCGGGGGGCTGGCTCGGCTGGTTATGTAAGAGTGACGCCGGCAAGTGAGTGCCCGGAAGTTCCACTAACCATTGACCGCCCGATCACCGAGGTCTACAGTCCCGGCTTCTCGGCGCGATCGGTCCCATGGTTGTAAAGAGACTGGATGGATGTTGGAGAACACAAAAAGTAGAAAGCCTGTCCGGTGAACACTTTCATGAGTATAGCTACTGATTCCAGTTCAGTGATCCTGTTGTCAGCTCCTGTGCATACCTATGTATTCATACATAGCAGAAGAAGCGGTTTGTTGGCGGGGTAGTGTAGCCAGGTACACATCCAATCGATCGCTAGCACCAGAATTCCACCGAAGCTTGTTGAATCGGTACCTGATTTAGTGCGTGTGCCGAGGAAACTTGGCATCTCCCCAGCCTTGCACAAACGCGGAACCCCCCCTCACCATTTCCCGTTCTTACGGTTTTCGGGAACGAAGGAGCTCCCGCCCATTTGTAAAGCCAGTCTGGCTCTTTTCCCGGAGTTTAAAGAGTCCGTATGTCGGTACCTATCCTGTAAGTCATCCGAGTGTGGACGTAGTCGCACGTGGGAAAAAAAGGGGGAAGTGGGAAAAACGGGGCCGCGGATGACCGAGAAATGGCATCTTCTCGTCGTTTTCGGTCAGGTACAACGACGCTCGAATTCGCTCCCTCTGGACGACGATGGGGCCGGGCCCCTTGTGCCTGGTCCCCGGCTTCAGGACAGGCTCCGAGCGAACCCCGACCGAACGAGCGAACGAATTCCAACTTCCACTTGCTTGCTGCGTTGGCGTGATGGACCGGGGCCTTGTTAGCTCGGCCCCTCGGACGCGGGGACCCTTGAATGGTTCTTGGCTGCTTGCCCAGCCTCGCTGGTTGTACCCTCCAGGAACCAGCCGCCCAGCTTCCGCAACCTCGACATTGCTTCCTCGACTGTGATGCAACGCTACGGCAGGATTCTGTTCGTACCCAATTTCCACAAGGGCTTTTCTGAAGAAGCAGCTGAGGTGAAATTGGGCAGACGGCACAGTTGGGTCGGGAATATGGGCTTCTTTGCAGCGAAAAGCAGAGTCAGAGATTTCTACCCGCTTTTGTCCTACCCGTCTTTTTGACCGGATGCGCACCCGAATTTTCGCATTTGAGAGTGTGATATTGATGGTGTGGGAGTGGCGGGCTGACAGGCCGTCTGCCGCCGTCAGGGTCACGTTCGTTCTGCATTTCGTCGCCAATCCCATCGCGGCGATCTCCCAGCAACGACAAGCTGTTGGGTGCCCACGTAGCCTGATCAACCCGAACGCGTAGCGTACGCGGAAACCTTGATCGACGGGATGCATCTGCAATCTTGAAGTCAGCGTGTACACTACGATTAGCAGAGAGCACAGGCACCTTGATGTTGTCGAGATTGGAGATATAGTGGCTAGCTATCGTCAGTGTCAGCAAGTGCGTATAGAGTAAAGATCCAAGCTCCCGCTCGCCAGGTCTGCAGAATTTCATCATGACGCATCCACCCGTTGGTTTCATAGAGCACTATCATCTGAAGTGTTGTAAAACAGTACTTCAGACGACTTATACCCAATCCAGGAACAAGTTAAGCTCGTGCAATCTTTCCGGGAGGGGCCCAATGGAAGATGTTGGCTGGCTTACCAGTGTCAGACCCAATGGCACCTGAATGTTTTGTGGTAGCCAATGGACTAGCTGCTGTCAGCCTCGCAGTGTTGGTTGATGGAGTGGTGTGCATCTATTATCTCTTGCGAGACATTGGCGCTTGAGTTCTGGACCTTTGTAAAACACACCAAAATAAATGGACAGCAGCGTGTCGAGCTTATATGTGCCGGACAGGCGTCGTCCCTGTTGTTGTTATTGGTGATGCGGGTCTCGGATAGGCTCGAATCTGGATGTCTATTTTGAGATGACTTCATCTCTGGGATAGCTCCCGTGGTTGACCGTTGCCCGTCAAATCAGGCTTTTGGCGGCGGTCTCTTCCTCAGCTGATGAGTGCGAGACTGAATTTGTACCCCATCATGAATCTGCAACGCCAAACGGCGCCATCATCTGTCACCACGACCAGCCCCTCAATATCGTAGCCGTCCTTTGCTGGAACTACTGGCTCCGCCCGAGCACGCTGTGCCTGGGCCTTGTTGTTTCTTCCTGGAGGTGATATTTACAGTGTAGGTCGCTTGTTCCCCCGGTACCATTGCGGCGTGACGCCACTGTAAAGCGCTTGGTCCAATGTTCTTGAGAGCAGTGACAAAGTGAACGTCGCTTGTGCCGGAGTTGGGTTGTTCGTGAACCGTGGGGTTGGTGTCTTGGGTGTCTTGCTTGGGTGTTGATGGCCGGGGTCAACCTCAATTGCTGCAGAAAGAAGAGATCAGAGAGCCAAGGCCGCAAGGCGGGCGATGAATCCGATGCGGTGAGTGGTCAATGTGGAAGCGCTGGTGGAGATGTGGTGGGTCACTGCCCAATCTCACTTCGGCGCCATCCAATCGCACGGCAGGCTGCGAGCAATACGGGGAGCCGTGAGGAGCCGTGACGATGGAGAACCCTTCCCGATTGGAATTACCCCATGTTGCCAAAGGGAATTTGTTGACGACGTCGGTCCATTCGCGCGGCGGTACAGACCTACACTACACAATGAAAGAAGGGCAGAAGAGCCCAAAAAGGCCGAGGGAGTCAGCCCAGGGTATCAGGGCACGAGAGCGGAACGCCCGAACGAGAAGGGGGAAAGCTGTGGTTGTGACCTGGTCGTGTCGAGGGTTGTGTGGGCAGGTACCACTCATAACCTTGTCGAGCCGGTGGTCCCATCCCCATCCACAAAAAGTCCACAAAGTCCACAACATCCACAGTTTTGAGTCCATTGCTCCTGCAAAACTCCAGTCGTGCCAAGCCCAGTCGCTTTTTTTCTTCTCGAAACTTGCCCAAGGGTCCCTTTTCCACTTGCTACACTCCAACCTCAACTCCCCTAGATCCCCTTTCCCTACGAGTTTCACCTGTAAAAAAACAAACGCCTCCGAGTCATATCCCCCATTGCCGACCTGAAAAAGCGTTACGACTAACGAGGTGAATACAAACCTTTTTCTCTTCCGTCCTCTCTTATTCTCTGTATGCCTTGTCGTTGTTCGCAATCAGCTTCCCCTAGCTCATTGCCCCGCGTTATTTGTTCATCCAGCGGAAGACAGGTGCCCCAAACTCACCTCTTCATCTTATCCTCTTGGCTTGACCAGCTTGATTCTGATTCTGGGACCGTTTGCGCGGCCAACTACAGGACGTGACACCACAAAGGCTGGCCATATTTGGCTTATACGATCGTCAACAACCACATTTTTAGACAGTTTCCCCTTTTCCATTCCCACGCTGAGATCTTGAACGGAGGCCAAACACCGCCGTCCAAGGCTCCACCTCTCTTTGCCGTTCCCTACCTTTCTGCCGCCTACCGATACCCCGACGATACAGCACTGCATGGCGGATAGTAAGAGCACACCTCAGGCCCTCTCCGTCGTGACTTCTTCCGACAAGGCACAATCTGAGGTGACACAAAATGGTGTCAACTACCACGATGGTAAGTGCTGTGTACATGGCCGAGCTGCATCCGAAGCGTCTCAGTCATACTGATCGCTGCTATAGATGATGACCTGAGCTCGCCCAGGTCTCCCACCTCTCCAGGCTCTCCAGGAGCTTCTCCCGCCTCTAAGAACGCCAAGAAGAACGCCAAGAAGAGGGAAAAGGAGAAGGCAAAGAAGGCCGCTGCTAGGGCCCTGGCGCTGGCTGAGGCCGAATCTCAGCCAGTAACAGAGTCTGAGGCTGCCCATGACGAGCATGAGGATAGCGGCGCCCCGAACGACGCCGAAAAGAAAAAGAAAAAGAAGAAGAAGAAGTCCAAGTCCAAGACCAGCAAGGACCTCTCGACATCTATCGCTTCCATCCTTGGAGAGCAGCCTGCGCAAACAGAGACTGCTGAGCAGACACCAGAAATCAAGCCCGCCGTTGAGGAGCAGCAAGAGCAGCAAATCGAGGAGGTCAGCCAACCAAGTGAGCCCGCGCCGGAGCCTGAGACCGTGGAAGTTGAGGAGGCCGAGCAGCCCGTTGCCGACGCCCAGGTCGAAGAGTCCAAGCCCGAGGAAGCCCCTGCGCCAGGATCGACTGAACAGACACCGGCGATGACAACCGAGGAGGCTCCTACGGCCGTCACTGAACCCGTGAGTACCGAAGAGCAAGTTCCTGCCCAGCCTGAGGAAGAAACCACCACTACCACCACCACCACCACATCCTCCCAGGATGAATCCGCTCCGACATACGCCGAGGTTGCTGAGTTGAAGGAGGGAGACTCGCCTGCTTCCGAGGTTGTTGTACCTGAGGCTACTGAGGTCACCCCCGAGCCCGCCTCCAGAGTCGTTCTCGAAACCGACGAGGTCCGTGAAAGCGCCGAACCAGTCGATACCGAGGTCCAGATTGTCGAGGAGACGAAAGCCTCAGGAGTTGACAACACGCCAATTGAGAGTGTTGAGGCTCCCGAAGTCAAGGCTGAGGTTGAGGATGACGTCAATATCCCTGAGGTCCCCGCCCAAGGCAAGGGTGGTCTCTCTCACATTTTCTTCCATCTTCCCGAGATGACAGAAGAGGTGAAGGATACTACTATTCTTGTTTCTGAAGAGACCCAGGCTTCTGTCGAGGAAACTCATGTCGAGGAGGAGAAGACCGAAACTCCTGTTGCCAAGGAGGCTGAGACCCCTGCTCCCGAAGAGAAGGCCGAGGCACCCGTTATCGAGGAAGTTGAGGCTTCTGCTCCCGAAGAGTCTAACGTCGAGGAGAAGACCGAAGCCCCTGTTGTTGAGAAGGCTGAGACCCCTGCTCCCGAAGAGAAGACTGAGGCCGCCGCTGCCGGGGCAATTGAGGCTCCTGCTTCTGAGGAGACTGTCGAAACATCTGCTCCCGAAACCAAGACTGAAGCTCAGGAGGAGAAGCCTGAAACTACCGCCAAGGAAGAGGAACCTGAGGCTTCCGTCACTGAGACCCCTGTCGAGCAGGATGCTGAGGTGCAGGAGAAGGTCGAGGCCCCTGCTGCCGAGGAAAAGACCGAGGTTCCCGAAGAGAAGCCCGAGACGCCCGTTGCTCAGGAGGAAATCCAGGCTAAGATCGAGGAGTTCGTCGAAAGCGAGAGGCCTGTCGAAGCGGAGGAAGAGAACAAGCAGGAGGACGTTGAGAAGTCTTCTGAGCCTGCCGCTGCCGAGAAGCCTGTTTCTGAAGATGACACCCTTCCCGAGGCTGTTTCTGAAACCTCCGCTGTCGAGGAGTCTAAGACCGCTGAGGCTGAGCAAACCCCCATTGTCGAAGCAGTCGAGGCTGTGGAGGAGACCGAGGCTGCTGAGGAGCTCAAGACTGTCGAAGAGGCTCAGACCGTTGAGACTTCTGCTGTTGAGGAGGTCAAGGTTTCTGAGCAGGCTCCTGCTGTTGAGGAGTCCAAGCCCGTTGAGGAGACTCCGATCGTCGAGGAGGTCAAGACTGTTGAAGAGTCCAAGCCCGTTGAGGAGACCCCCGCTGCTGAGGAGGTCGAGGTTTCCGAGCAGGCCCCTGCTGTTGAAGAGTCCAAGCCCGTTGAGGAGACTCCGATCGTCGAGGAGGTCAAGGTCGAGCAACAGGAAGTTGCTGCCGAAACCGCGAAGGGAGAGCCTGTTCAAGAGACTGCGGCCGAGCCTTCCATCGAAAGCGCCACCGAGACTGCCACTGCCGCTATTCCTGAGACGGCCCCTGAACCCGCCGTTGAGGATATCAAGCTGGCTATCACCGAATCCGCCACTAAGAACGTCGCCGATGCTGCTGAGGCTGTTGAGACTGTGGCTGAGCCGGACTCCCAGGTCGTTGAATCTACTCCCGAAGTCAAGGCTACCGATATCGCCCAGGTGGAGGCGTCTGAGCCCGTCACTGCCAAGGCTGAGGATCACGACGAGAAGCCAATTCCAGTTGAGGAGACTGTTGGTGAGTCAAAGGCAGTTTTGCCGGTTGATGATTCGATTAAGGACAAAATCCAAGACACAGTTGCTGCGCCCGTGCATGATGATGTCAAGGAGGTGGTTGTCGAGGAGCAGACTACAGGTGAGGACAAGACTGCCATTGAAGGGGAATCTACCAATGACAGCGTTCAAGTACCCACGGACGCTGTCAGCCATGAGAAACCTGCTAGCGTTCAACAGGCTGTCGAGGAAGCTCCGGTGGTAGAGACTGAAGAGGAAGCTACCGACAAGCCCGGGTCTCCTCTCAGCGAGACGTCCGTCACAAAGGATGTCGAGGAACCCGAGAAGAAGGACACCGACGAGAGCAAGTCCAATGCCACGGAGATCGCCGTCGGCGCAGGCATTGCTGTTGCTGGTGCTCTGGGAGCCGCCGCTGTTGCGGTTGCCGACAAGGTCACCGAAGTCTCCAAGCCCGTCACAGAAAAGGTCGTTGAAGTCACCAAGCCCATCATTTCGGATTCTGCACCAAAGGTCGCCACGCTCGAGCGTTCCGCAGCTCACGGTCAAACTGAGGCTGGCTCACTCATTGCCGAGCGCCCCAAGCCCGAGTCCAATCCCCAGGCGGTCACTGAAGATGTCAAGTCGACTTCATCAGTAGAGGCTGAAGCACCCGAGATCGTTGATGAGACGGTGCCGCTCTCCGAATCCTTTCACGTTGTGGAGAAGGAAGCACCAGCTGAAGAAGAAGCTGCAAAAATTGATGGAAAGAAGGGAGCTTCTTCTGAAGATGGTGAGGAAAAAACAATCCAGTCCGTTGACCAGAAAGGAACACAGACTGATAACGCTCTTAATCCTCAAAGGCTCCCAACAGAAGACAGGACAACCAACCAGGTCTCGGTGGACCAGCGTGTACCCACATCTGCTGTCGTTCTCCCTGATCTTGACGATCCTGTGGCTCAGGAAGTGAGCCGCGCCCGCAATGAGCGGGGGCCGGACAGGAACACCATTAAGCAAGCAGAGGAAATGGTCGCAGCAGCAGTAGTCATCTACGCCACAGCCGATTCTTCAAGCCCAGCTGCCACTGCCACAGCTGACAAGCCGGAAATTAACGCCCTTGGTCTCTCAGGAGTGCCTTCCGAGGCGGATGTGAAAGGAAAGGGGAAGGATGTCGAGCCTCCATCACCCACCGCCAGCAAGGACGCTCACATCAAGAACGTCGAGACCACATCGGACCCGACCATTGTTCAACAGGGATCCTCTTCACCGGAGCTTGGGCGGTCTAGCACAACAAGACTGCGGAGATCACTCAAATCGAGGGAATCCCAGGAAGCAAGCAACAAGGAGAACAAGGGCACGGAGCGCGGACACAGCAAGAAGAGCTCGATCTCATCCGTCTTCAAGTCCAAAAAGCAATCATCCACTGCATCGGACGAGTCTGTGGAAGCTGTGTCCCCCACTTCGTCGGCTGGCGGTACGGACCCTTCGTCACCGACACAGGCCGCCGCTCACCGCCAAAAAAGGGAAGAGCGAAGGAAAGATGCAAAGGAAGGCAAGAAAACTGGCTTTAGGGCTGCCATCAGGCGCTTCTTTGGCAGCAGTTAAAGGCCTGACACTTGGGCTTGTTACTTCTTTTCGGATTCAGGGGGTGGCTGCTATGGTTTAATAATCGGCATGTTGGTTTGATGATAATGATGAGGCGAACATCTACCTCTGCTTAGTGTTTAATGATGAACGGGGGGTGGGAGCGGTGGTGATGGTGAAGATCCCACGTGCTATACGAAGACTTGGAACAGCAAAGAAGAACAAGAAGAAGGAACGAGGAACGATAGTTGTGTATGTTATGGCTACTGTATTTGTCATTTCGGTTACCGGTTTTCTTTTTTCCAGAACACCCGTAAGGGTTGTTACGTTATGAGTTTACGAATTGATTTGTGGGTTTTCCCTCTTGTCAAACTTGTTGCATGCTCTTTTGGCGATGACGCTGCATGCTGCTGGCGGCAGGGCCGACATGTGAATGCTGCTGTTGCCAGCCGCCCGTTCAAATGACGATCAAACTGGGCAGATAGCCGAGTTTGCTGGTGAATACGTAGCCGCTCTGCCTGCCGCGAGAGCCCAGTCAGGGTCGCAAGGAAAACCCTTGTATGTACTTCTGTCAGCCTTGCAGGAGGTGGGTCGCATCTGTGGAGGGATGAGGCCGCTTTCATTGTTTGGCGCTGAACACCACTAAAAAGCACCACCGAAACACAAACGATTGACGAGAGCGCCCTGCCTTTGCTGCTGCTCTCATTAATTCCCGACACACTTCCTCTTGGTTGCTCTTTGGGTCTTTTCCATAGACGTATCTTTCCATGACCCATAGTTTGCCCAAAGTACCTTCTCCTGCAATGTCCAGGTGACAAAGTGTCAAACATCCCTCCCTCTACGACTCAAATCACGACCGACAACTAGCCCAACAACCGATCAATCGAACGGAACATCACTGACGGTCTAGCTAAACACGATACACACGACACTGAACACTAAAATGTCCGACCTCCTCTCCCTCTTTGGTTGGACATTTCTGCCCAACCTCGTCACCGGCTGGGTCCAATCGTTCTACTACAGCGTTACCATCCGCGCTGGCTCGCCGCGCCCAATGCCGGGCACACCTCGATACGCCGAACATCGCCGGCGCATACACATCTTCGTCGTGGCCGTTTACCTCCTATACACCATTTACGAAGCCCACTACGAGCTCGTCGTGCGCGGCTCCAACTTCTACGGAGACCTAGGCGTCAGCCCCGACGCAAGCGAGCGCGAAATCAAGAGCCGGTTCCGCCGGTTGGCGGCGCTTTACCACCCCGACAAAGTCGTCACAGGACAAGGACAACAAAGCCAAGAGGAGGTCAACAATTACTTTGTGCACCTGAAGACGGCAGTGGACACGCTTACAGATCCCGTGCGCCGGTTTGCGTACGAGCGGTTTGGCGTCGATGCTGTTGCTTGGGCCGGGCCCAACGGGAATGGCAAGGGAGGATGCAAAACCCACCGCGACTTCGTCATGCGCGGCGCACAGATGTTGTTGTCATATTACGGCTTCGCGGCCGCGGTGCTGTACGGCCTGGGCCTGCTGGGATACCTGACGTGGGGAAAGTACGAGAGGTGGCTGGTGCTGGCCAGCATGTTTGTGTGGGAGGCGCACATTGTTATGAGCCCAGGCAGGCCGGCGGTATTTGAACACTTCCTGAACCCATTGCTACAACGGGTGACGGGTGTGATGGGCAGGTATTATCTGCCATTCCAGGCGGTGGCGCTGATGAGGAAGGTCAGCGTCACGGTGTATATTGCTATTTCGCAGATCGGCCCGTTGTTGACGGCGGATACGTCCAGTGGGCAGTTGGTTGCGAAGAATAATGGTGCGGGAGGAGGCGATCAGGAGGAGCTGCTTAAGCAGGGGCTGGAGAGGTTGGAGATGACAAGTAGAGGGCTGGATCAGGATATGTCGAGGTTGGTGGAGCTCGAGATGGCACCGTTTGCGGGGGACCAGGAGGCGCTGAGCAGTATGAGGGGGAAGATCAAGGAGTGGTTGGTGCAGAATACGATTAAGAATGATCCGATGGTTAGGGATGCTTTGGGGAGGGGGTTGCAGAGGAGGAGGGTGGATGCGCCGGCTGGAGCGAGGGGGACGAAGTGAGGCGTTGTTGATGATGTTGTAGCGGGTTCTAATTCACATTTCATTTTGATTCACATTTGAGATCATTTCAGCAAAGCGGTTAGTCAGGCATGACTGGGCTTATAACCATCTGAAAGGCATTTGCTGTGCATTCATTGACGGTGCCTATTCACCCCCATAACGTCTTCCTTGATACCTGTCCTACCCAACACTTCTGTCTGTGATGGGAAATAACGTTCTCCCGGTCCTTATTTTTCATGACTCTTCTGACGATCTCTTCCACCACCCATCCAGCCACCACCTCACCATAACATCACAACCTCTGCCTACCCCTCGTCTCAATAGGAATCAACACCATCCCTACAAACGCCGCCAGAATCAGCGCCGCCGACAGATACACCGGCGTGGTCCTACCATCGCCCGGCACCGTCGCCGCCAAAATCGGTGCTACTAAGCCCGTCACTCTGTTCAAGAAACTCGCCACGCCCGTGCCCGCCCCCCGGACCGGTGCCGGAAAGATCTCGGGCGTGAAAGCGTACAGGACGCCATACATGATGTTCTGCGCGAACGCCTCAATACACGAGAACGTGAGGAGGGCACCCGATGTGGTACCGAACTTGATGAACAGATACAGGAAGATAGCGGAGACGAGCGTTGAGAGAGCGAGGGTTCCACGACGACCGAAGAAGGGCGATTTCATGTCCACCGCGTAGGCGGCGAGCAGGCTACCCGGAACTCCTGCGATGGAGGTTATGGCGTAGTTGCGGTAGGTTTCGGCTGAGATGGTTTCTGGACTGTCTATGCTAGTGCTTGTTTCCGGTGCTGGTTGTTGCCCGCCGTTGTTGCCGCCGTGGGATAGGTACTGTGGGAGAAAGGCGTTGAATAAGGGGTATCCCATGCCAATGGTCGCCCAGCAGAACCAAATCAGGACAGTAGTCAGACCGAGTTTGCGACTGCTGAAGAGTGGGCGGAGACGATTGCTTGAAAAAGAGGCGAAGCGCTGCTTGATGATATTGGCGGTTGATAGTCGTTGTCGGGTCACATGCTCGCGGCGCCGAGAAGTAGCTGGGGATAGGGATGATAGTCCATCGACAACAGCATCGAGGATCTCCTCAGTCAGCCACGTCTTACGACCGTTGCGGAAGGCGATTCCGTGGACGACGGCTACTGCCTCGGCTTGTCGGCCGCTTGAGAGGAGGAACTTGGGAGACTCGTATAAGTGGAAAATGAAGAAACGGACGAGGAACATAATCAAGGTGATGATGCCGATGCTGAACACAAAGTGTCGCCATCCTTGCTCGGCGGGCAAGTGGCCGATGAAATACCAGGCCAGCAATGATGAGCAGAGTTGGCCGATGGGCCACCAGACAGAGAGAAGCGTCAGCAGGGAGCTGGAGGCGTCGGGCAAGAATTCGAGAAAGAGGGCCCCATCAACGGGCAAATTACCGCCAACACCAAAGCCAAGAGCTGCGTAGAGGAAACAAACACCAGCCCAGCTTGTTGCAAAAGCAGAGGCGATGCCGAAGATGGCGGTAATAAACAGAGTTGCGTTGAAGGCGAGGCGTCGACCTAGGACATCGGACCCGATCCCCCAGATGAAGCTGCCAACACAGAGACCGGCGAATAGGAAGGACGTGGTGTAGCGAACGGTCTTCTCCGATATGTCGAACTCGGCTGATAGTGATGGGAGGGTGAGAGAGATGCCTTGCATCCATAAACTGTGTGGAACTGGAATTAACAACGGGTTGATCATGTGGATTTTGAAAAGGGGCCTCATACTTGTCGGCAAACCAGCCGAAACCACATAAGATAAATAGTTGCCAGTTGTACCTCCCCATTCCAATGTCCTGAATGGCTTTGTTAATGAGCTTTGATTTCACTACCAAGCAGTTTAGCATGAATATGTCCTGTAAGATGGATAGTCGTGATCTCACTCTCATAGTCTGTCCACTTCTCGCCGCCCTTGTTTCCACGGCGAACCTCTCTCCTAAAGCCCTCGATGCTGTACTCAGGTTCCGTCCCCATTTCTAGCAACATGCCCGTGTCCTCATCGTCGGCTGGGTCCTTGTGACGATGGCCGCCCTCGTCATCATAACCGAGTACAGCATCGTCTAGATCAGAAGGCGGACGGGATGTGGACGAGTGGCTGTGTAGATGTGCCTCCTCGAGTGGAACGAGCACTCCCGGATAATCATCAACCGATTCGGAGCGGTAACCATACCAAAGAAGGCCTGCCATGGTTTTCCTTTACAACGCCGGGTGCGGCTCACAAGTTAGTAACACCAGCTCTTGATCGTTTCCGCCTCCAGGGGGTAATTCTTCGTAAACGGCCGTATAGTCGTAACCATGGAGAGCGAAGAACAGCGAGACGGGATGCAGATGGTTAAATAGTTGGAACGCAGAATACAAGAGAAAAAACCAAGATGCCGGAACGACTCAGAGGCCCAAAATAAGGTACCGTGTTGGTACCGGGATGTATGAGACGAGCGTGGGGATGGGATCCCGGTGATCCAAGCGGTTGGCGTCGCTGGAAATGGATATTCTGGAAGCCTTCAAAGAAACTTTATGTGGTAGGCTTTATGGCCATCACATCTTGAAGCATGGAGGTGATGATGATCTTGTTCACAGAAGTTGGATTTTCGTGTTGGACGGAGGTGGTTCCTTATAAGGAGCTCCCGTCAGGTGCTCCCACTGTCGTCAGGGCAGGTTACACTATATGCAGGTCGGCGAATTAGGAAGTTGTAGGGTGCGCTCCCCCCCGCTAAATCAAACCAGCTGGTCGGTACCTAGGTACCTTCCAGTATGTATGTACATAGGTGGACGCCGCTCACTAAAACTGGTCACGCGTCACTCGGTTGTTTTGGGGGGCTCCTGTTTTGTCCGAGCTCGTTGTGGTCGGGTGCGGCAGTTTCCGACCGATTGCAGGCACTCAACCTGCACGTTCTTTTCATTGTAGTTCACCATCATGTTTACCACTCAGAATCACCACAACTACATGGGCCAATCTCAGCCTCCGGACATGACCTGATGCTCTAGATAAAACCATAAACTCACAGTCGACTCAAGTAAAAGGTGTTCGAAGACATCGGGTCAACTTCGTCACAGGATGGAGCGCTATCTGATCAAGAAGACATCTCCAAGCGCCGGTCTCAAACGCAAGGCGTCAGACAGCCCCGCGAATTCCACGCTTGCGCCTGCTAAACGACCGCAACCTCTTCGTCCACACGAATCCCGCTCGAGTGCAGTTGATGTTCGCGGCCAAGAAGAGAAATATGTGGGAATTGAATATGACTCTTGGAAAGACCAAATCATGGCAAGCATTGACCAAGCCCGCTCCGCAACCCGCTCCAAAGAAGGCGGTATCAAAGTCTTGGGGGCCCTTCTCAAGGTATGTTCCACTTCCATATGCAGCTGAGGAGATTAGGTACACAATACAACATATAAATCCCCCCACCACCTATCCTGTGTTGTAAGATTTCGCACCTCTTTTACCCGAACATTATACCGAACACCATTCCAGTACACCTCCTCCTCTCCTCCGCTACCACTGTATAGGTGGCATCTATCAACAAGATGGACACATTCCGCCGACTTCCACCCAGGAAACGGCTAGACTGTGACCCGGATAAATCCACGTTACGGGTTGGTGCTCTGAACCTAGGTCTCAAGCATGACGTCGACATCTCGTACTGCACACCTTCCAGAGGCTGAATGACCATCTTTCGGCTTCGTTTTCTCTGCTGACATGTCTGTAAACAGGCCATCAATGCTTGCCCTTGTAAGCCGGGCAGTCACGGAAATAACAAGGCCTGCCATATCTCGCAATGCGTGACTGCTGTGTATGAAGAAAGTCCCGATGCTCTCCACCGCGCTGCTACGGAGCCATGCTCTTGCGGCTTTGTATGGCCATCGTGTACCGACCTCTTCCATATCCGCGCCGTCGACTCCCTGGCCGATTCTCTGGACAAACAGGAAAAGCATGTTGCCGCATTTTCCACTGCCCTCGGTCTCATTCGCTTGGATCCCGCCCACCCCATAGTGAGTGGCTCGACCACCTCCAACCTCGTGTCCAAGTAGAAAACCTGACAGCTCCAGGGGTATTGTCGTGTCGCCAGACTCCTTCGCAACTTAACCAAGAACAAAGACAAGCAGACGTCAGCTCTTGCACTTACTACCATACTGCGAGACTCTAAACTTGACCCTTCCCACGATGTACACGATCTCACTGTTCGGTTCGTCAGGTCCGGGCTTTACAACATGGAACAGTACCGGCGGGGAAAGTATAATCAGTACCATGTGAGTCCAAGCAGTCTTAACACGCTCTCGGCGCGTGGACATACAGCTGATAGCCTCGCCAGTGGCTTCTGCGTCAGTTGTCCAGTATGCTAGATATGCCCGAGTCAAAGAGAGATCCAGTAGAGAAGCTCCCGCATGAGCTGTTAACCATGATCTGGTCACATCTTGACACCGACAGTTTAATGCAAGCTTCCCTCCTACATTTCCTTTTTGTTTCTTTTTGGGGCTAATGAACCCTCGTGGTCTACAGGAGATGTGAACGTGTGAGCAAGAAATGGCAGAAGCTGGTGCTTTCCGATTCGGTGCTCTGGAGCAAGGTCTCGCTGGGCCGGCCCGGGAACCCGGGTCGGTTCTTTCCACAGTTCCTCAAAAAGCACAAGAACATCCGGTCTCTGACGATCAACGACACTTCATATTTCAAGATGACTCACGACAAGCTTCAAATGATCATGCGTGGTTTGCCCAGCTTGGAACGGCTAAGCCTCCATAGACGCATGCGTCTAAACAATCCCGATGGTCCCGAGGATGTTCCAAAGTTCCTTGGGGGCGTGCAAGGGAAGCATCTGACAAAGCTAACACATCTCTCACTCAACAAACTGGACGCCCATACAGCTGGAGAGCTCCTACGGCTCACAAGTCCGTCTCTTCAAGTTTTGGACCTACAGGGCTTCTCGGGGAAGAATCTCAATGGCATCATGACCCGACAGCCTTGGCCGAGTCTGAGAAAGCTACGGCTGAAGTTGTCGGATGATGACTACGACCCAAAGATACATCTCGGGCAGCTGAATATGGTCAGTAACTTGCGTCCCACACTCATCTGCCTTATCCACTTGCTTACCATTTGATCTAGAACGGTCTAATGAATTTAGCTCCACACCTTGAGGAACTTCATATCAAGGGTTACGGGCTAAAGTTTGTCGATCTTGGGCTTCACGACATGCCTTTCGACAAGGTCCCTGTGAGCGACGTACGACCATGGCAAAATTTGCAGTCTCTATATATCGGCTCAGTCAGGAGTCACGACCCTCTTGAAGACATATTTCAGGGGTCTTTTGTTTTGCCTGCTTTACCAAACCTCCGCTCCGTTGAGATCCTTTCCGATAGCGCGCACCTGATCGATTATCTCTTTACGACATGTGATGAGCCGGGGAGCCCGATACAGGGTTCTTTGAATGATCTCACAGGAACCACTGCGGAGTCGGGCATTGCTTTGGCGGGTTGGCCACAGCTGGAGGTGTTCAGGTGCCATGGCCCCATAAGCACCGGTATACTGCGAAAGGGTCTGGCGGAAGCAGCCACAAATGGGTCGCTGAAGGTCCTTGAGTTGGCTATCAATAGCGACCGGTCACTATTCAATCACCGCATCCAGGTCGATCTTCTGAAAGACTGGGCTTTCACGTCGTCACCGAGCGTTCACCATCTCGGACTATACCACTTCAATTGGGCCCAGCATTACAGCAGTTTTGATGGCGAGCCTTTTATCGACTGGCTGCAACAGTTCCCCAACGTCGACACGGTAACGGTCGCGCCGGGACGTCATAGTGGTCTCTTGCCCTTCATCCAGAAGTTGATCACACACCCGCAGATCAAGGCATTGTACTTTGACCCCACGGGCCTCTCGAGCCCGGAATGGTACGAGATAACCGAGGTGGGGAAGAAATATGGGGTGAAAATGTTCAACTTGAATGGAGGACCTTTGCATGCCTTTGATGGAGGTGATTTCGATGGCGCGAGACCGAATCTCGGACTGAGGGTTTGACAGGTACGATTGGGGAGACATGCGGCACTCTTTCCGCTCGCATTTTCTGCATTAAATTGAGTTCTTGTTACCTGCTCAACCCCTATCTAAACTTAGGCCAATTGACGGCCCTGCAGCAATAAGCGTTGGATAGCATAAGAACGTACATGGTGAAATGGATTAAGGTTATCAAGTTTATCTGTCTATGATCTTGTATGTACTCGTCGGTTAGGTTGATGTGCTTTCCAGGGTGGCCTGTGCGTGCACCTACCCGACGAGTAGTGTATGTTAACGTTGGCTAAATACATTATTCGTATCCACTCGTGATCGGTTTAAGAACCACTGAAACTCCCACAAGAAAGGTATCTCTAGTAAACTCGAGCTTCAAACAGGTTCGAGATGAGACAGACGCCGACGGCGAGAAGAAGAAAACATGTTAGACTCAGCCTGAACGACACCAACGGGCGGGGACGTTGGTGAAGTGGCCCGGTACCTCTAGATGTGGCCCGAGCTCCGAAAGGGTCTCTACCTACTGTTACACCTGTACCTAAAGGTACCCCTAGGTGGGTGCCTCCGCGGCGCATACTTCCGTATCTAGCGCCTGTGCATGGTCCCTGCAAGCTGGAAATTGGCTGTTGTTGCTGCTTGGTTTGGGTGACAGCAGTGCTCTCAATTAGGTTGACCGCCCGCCGCAACCTACAAGTAAGCTGTCTCGCTGCATGGCAGAATTTCAAATGCGACAAGGGTGAAGGCATCCTGACCGTCCACTTGTTTTAGGCCAAGCCAGCATCGACATCCTCTCCGCCTGCCTCTCGATTTCATTCACTCATTCGCTTTGGTACACGGAAGACCGCGGCGCGCAACTTCGTGGGCAGGGGGGGACAAACAAGAGTCCAGAGTGCCAATCGCAACAACGCTCTTCTTCGACGGTTCGAGATTGTACGTCCTCCATGTTGATGTGTTCACTTGTCGGCGGTTTGCTACCAAGCTACCTACCTACCTTTACCTGTTTCCACTTTCGGTCAGCCCTCAAATTGTTGAACGACATCGCCATCATCCACCTCTCACTTCGTCATCGCTCCCGTCCGCTCTCGACTGCCACCCCGCCGCGCGCTGCACCCTCCCACCGCCCTCCCCGATATCCAGAACAAACATTAACCTCTATCACATAGCACCCGCGATCTAAACTCTCGGGACTCGAGAGCCAGCACGCGCGCCGCGACGTTGTCAGCCTATACCATTGACCACGCCGCCTACACCTCTTGCTGAACACTACCACGATACAAAGTGTCGCTTGACTTTTCCACACGTCGTCCACCTGCCCGGGCATTCACCTACGCAAATGCTTGCTCGAGCAAGCCACAATGGCGGCAGCTAACAATCCCTTCGGGGCGCCTTCAGCTCCGGCTGTCAACCCTTTCGCGAAACCAATCCAAGCCGCACAGCCTACCCAAACAGCATCGGTTTTCGGAAGCTCATCAGCTCCTAATCAGAATCCGTTCGGGAAGCCTTTCTTGGGCCAGGCGCAATCGTCCGCGCAGAGCGCCAGTTCCTCCCCTTTTACTCAGAATCCTTTTACGAAGCCAGTAGGACCGACGAATTCTGCGGGCGGAAACAAGTCCCCATTCTTTGGCGCGCAAACCACGACACAACAAGCAACAGGCTTTGGGGCGGCGAATGCCAATCCCCAGAAAGGACCACAGGGCTTTGGCGGCGGAAAGCCGTCTGGCCCCAGCAATGGATTCGGAAATTCGCAAGCCAGTCAAATGTTTGGAAAGGGAAAGGCCACGCGGCAGCAACCACCACAGTCAGACGGCCGCGATGCTGGAGCGGCACTAATGAATAAGTTCCAGCGCGGCCAACGAAAGAACAATGAGCGCCCTGCAAAGACCCAGCCGAATGCGACGCGTGCTGTCGGCATCAATAGCACCTCTGGCGCGCCAACTCGAGAACCGACCGAGCGTACACGCGAGTTGTCCGAATTTGCTTACAGCTATCACAACAGAATCAATGACCAGCTAAAAAAGGACAATCTGAAGCCACCGCAGTGGCCGACGACTGAACTCGGCAATCCGAACAAACGTGACGATGTCGAGAACCTCAAGCAGTCATTCAAGAAATACCGTACTCGCGTATACGATGCCCTACGGAAAGTTGAGCTTATCGATGACCCCGAAAAGAGGAGGAAACTTGAGGATGCGTTGCCCTTTAAGGGTATCTGTGAGGATATGTGCCCGGAGTTTGAGCAGATCTCCCGTATCGCCGAATTCGATGTCAAGAATGAAGAGAAGGAAACCCAACCCGGCGGGCTCACAGCATGGCCAGAACCTTCGAAGATGGTGAAGAAGTTTGGTCGATCTGCAGCCGGTCAAGATGCACCACTCCCTATGGATGTCCGTTCCATTGACGCTTTACGAAGAACCACCGACTACCTCTTCAACGATCTTTTACAGTCTGAGAACAACCTGCCGTCTATGCACAACTACCTCTGGGATCGTACACGAGCAGTACGCAAGGACTTCACGTTTCACTCGCAAAAATCGGCAGAGGAGATGAAGGACATGGTCTACTGTTTCGAGACGATTACTCGCTTCCACGCCACGGCTCTTCATTTGTTGTCCCGGAAGGGGTTTGCAAATGAGGATTTCGAGCAAAAACAAGAGATTGAGCAACTGGGCAGGACCATCCTCTCGTTGATGGAAGCATACGACGTCTGCAAGGAGAAACACGTTCTTTGCGAGAATGAGGCGGAATTCAGAGCTTATTACCTACTTCTCAACGCACACGATCCCTCTATAGCACAGAGGATTCGTACGTGGGGAAAGGAGTATTGGTTCGAGTCCGAAGAGATTCAAACAGCACTGTCTCTCATCCAAGTCATGGAAGACTTGCGGGAGTCAAAGGGACCTATCAAGCCACGCCGAATGACGACCATGTCCGACACCGCCTTCACCAACTTCTTCGCCATCGTCGAAGACCCGCGAGTGTCATACACCATGGCCTGTGTTGCAGAGGTCCACTTCACCTTTGTCCGCCAGTGTATTCTCAAGAATCTTGTCAAGGCTTATGCGCGCCAACGCGATGCCCCCAGGACGATCACTGCGTCCGATCTTAACAAAATGTTGAGATTTGACACTGATGAGGAGGCTGTTGCCTTCGCCGAGGAGCATAATTTCGAGTTTTCCACTTGGGTGCCCCCGGGAAAGCCAGCGGTATCTGAGCCATACCTACTCCTGAATACCAAGAGGAAACATGTCCCATCGCCTAGAGTTCCCCAGTCCTACTCAGGACTGATGGTTGAGCGGAAACGAGCAGGACAATCGTTACCCTACGTTATATACAACACAATTTATGAAGATATTGCCGACAATACATCTGCCAAAAGAAAATCAGATGCTAATGGCGGCGGTCTCTTTGTTAACCCTCAGCAAGCTCTGCCTGCTTTCCCTACCTCACAAGTGTACAAACTTCAAGATGTCGCAACATCAACACCATTCACGTCCACGTCTAGAGCTGTACCGCCCATCACCAAGACGCCTGAGAACATCCCGATGTTCCAAACAGCGGTAAAAGATTTCGGTGCGCCCAGCCACCCTTTTGCAGGAAGTGTCACCACTAACTCGCCTCAAGCAACTGGTGCAACGACCTCGAGCCCCTTTTCTCGCCCTTCGCCAGCGCAACAACCACAACAGGTCGCAAATCCGTTCTCCATGTTCGGTCAACCTTCAGCTGTGCCACCAGCGACTCAAACGCAAAGTCCGGCCTCGGCTCCCAAGCCTACCGGTGTCTTTGGACAGGCCCCTCAGACCCCACAGCCGACATTCGACTTCCAACAATCTCAAACCGCAATCTCAGCCCCAGGTTCCTCGGCACCCACTGCTCCAACAGCACATAAAGATACATCGAAGCCTGTTACGTCGAATTCGCTTGCTCCGGCCACTTCTGTTTTCAATCCGGGCAGTGCACCGGCCAACCCGTTCACGTCACTCTCAAATCAGAATCAGAGCACTGCTCCAACCCAATCCTCAGCGACCACACAGCAAACGTCTTCAGGATTTACGTTTACTCCAACAGCACCTAACCCTAAACCTTTCCCTAGCTTCACTGCAACCGCAGGAACAGAACAACAACAGGCCAGTACCCCGGCGGCGTCTACGCAAACCCAACTGCCAGGGACGCCTTCGATGATATCGACAACACCCTCAGTCTTCTCCACCCATCCCAAGCCAGTCGACAGTACAGCGCCCACTCCACCCGCAACACAGCATTCAACAGTCTTCGCTCCGCAGGCCGCTTCCAACTCACCTTTTAGGATCAAGGGCACATCCAATGATGGTGCTCCTTCATCTTTATTTCCTACGGCACCGCTTCCGCAGCCCTCACTATCTACATCTGCGCCTTCCCAATCTGCTCCTCCTCGTCCAAGGGATTTGATGGGTGATTTCTCGAAGTGGTTTGTCATGGGTGATGGCGGTTTGCTGGAAGAGTTTACAGCCCGCTACCTCCAAGAATTGGTAGAGGGCGCCTTCAATCAGCACCTGAAAGAGGAAGCTGAACGCAGGCGCAGGGAAGAAGATGAACAGTCTTGGAGAGAAGCACGTGCACATATGAGAAATCGGCTACAGCTCAAATACTTCTACCGGTGGCGGGAAGCTGCCAGGAAGTTGGCACAGAGACGAATTCTTCGCGAAGGAAAGGAGAGGATGCGACTATACAGAGAACAGGAGCAGCGTGTGCGAAAGAAGAATAAGGAAGATGAGGAGATGTTACGCAACCAAGAAAGAATAGAAGCCAAGAGAAGGATTCAGGCTGACGGTTCCCGACTCAAGCAATTGGCGCTAAATGCTTCCAGGGTAGGGCGAGGCCAGCAGCAAGTAGAGGAAGAACTTCTTGCCAGCGGCGTCTTCTCTGGGGCGCGTGATGAGCGCGCAGCCGTCCGCCGAGCCATCAAGGAAGCAGGGACCAATGGCGACTGGGGCTCTCCACAGCCAGGGAAAACGTTTGGATATGGTTCCGAGTCAGGTTTCAAGCTTGGACGGGCGCCATCAGCGGCTTCCAAACGTCGGGATGCTGGGAGTCTCAGAGACTCACTGGCAGGTTCACCGGAAAGCACCGGCAGCAAAGAAGGTGGCAAGACGCGAGCACTGCGCGAAAAGTTTGGTCTGGGAGGCCCTAGGGGAAGCTTCTCATCCGCTGGCGGTAGCTCGGTTCAGTCTTCCATGGTCACCAAGTTCCGTCATTCACTCAATGGAATCGGCGTCAATGGTGGGAACAGCATGATCAAGCGAGCGAGCAATTTCTCCACCCCACGAAAGCGCTCGATCGAGCCTTCTCCAGTTACTGAGGGTAGAGATCCCAAGCAGCCACGGAGATCAATGCTGGGAATGAGCATGGCAAACACGAGCCTGCCCAACATCAGCCTGAGACAAGGTACCAGCACCAACAGTCCGAAACCTGAGGGATTCAAAACTAGTCACTGGGATCTCAGGGCCCGCGGGCTGGTGCCGATGCCAGACGGGCAGTGGCTCCCGGAAGCCATTGCCACCGCCATAAAAGAAGGCAAGCTCAAACCACCTAGTCCTCCAACTCGCCACAACTCTTACTCACCCGCCATCCGACCATCGACCGAACACGCCATCATGTCGGATGACGACGAGTCCATGGGCATGGGTAGCACCTACGACAACGGGGACGATGTTGAGGTGGATGATTCTGCCTCCATGACCAGCTGGCGCTTGAGGGTCGCCAGACTCACCGGCTCCACTAGTCTCGTCCAACAACATCTCCAAACACCCAAGCAACCGCCTGCCGACTACAGCACCTCTAGCAGACTTGCCAAACTCAAGGCAAGAATGGGATACGGCTCACCAAGAGCTAGTGGCACGGGATCTCCCGCTGTTCGCCCGTCGCCCACGCCTTCTGCCGCTTCAGCGACCGCTCGGCCATTTTCCAGAAGAGAAGCTAGCTGGAGCGCCATTCTCGACAGAAAGAGGAAGCGAGACCTGGCGAACGACGAGACGGCTGCGGCTGCGGCGGCGGCGATTGAAGCTTCTCCTGCTGCCTTAGGACAAGGACGAGGACGATCAGAGAATTCTCCGCCCATGGCCAAGAAGGCATACTATGCTGCTTCGGCGGTTAGCAGGGGGAGCACCGCTGCTTTGTCAACGAGAGAGGAGACAAGCGCGGCAGTGGAGGAGACGCGGAGGATGTTGAGGGAGTTGAGAGAGACGATGGATAAGCTGGACAGCGATAAGGGGATGTGGAGGGAAGAAGTTGGTAGTGGGAAGACTTAAGGGTATTACTCGCATTGAGTGGGGCATGAAGAATCGGAGAATCATTTGATGAAAGCAATCGAGAGAAAGGGGGCAGGGTTGAATTCAAATATGAGATTACATCATAAGGTTGCCTAACAGAAGCCGGAGTAAGGCGTAGAATGTTTACGCATCAGACACTCAAATGAAACTTAGATAGATAGGGAGGGAGGGAGGGAGGCCTTCATGCATTCGGTGCACAGATTATAATTGCTTCTACCTTTGAGCTGCTTCAAGAGACTTACCGTACCAAAACCATAGCATGATTGAGACTGACGATACCCAATCCCGGTTTTTTTTTTTTTTTTCCTCCCTTCTTTTTGCATTGTACAAGCGGGCAACTCTTCAAGGTATACTTTGATCTCTAATCAGGGAACAACTTTCTAGTGAGCATATGAAGAAGCCAGTTCATTATCATCATCACGGGTATCCTTTATCATCCCTAACTATGCACATGCATCTACAACTCGGCCTCTCACTTTCGAGGACTTTTTGGTGGCCCATCAAACATCGTTCGAATCGCCACACTCTCAACTGGACTCCCCGCCGGCTTCTTCTTCATCACATTCCCACCAAATCTCGGACTCCTTGGCGACGACGGGATGCCGTGCGTCGTTACACTGACAGTACTTCCATTGAATCGTCTCTGCTGCTCGTTTCCTTGTTGAGGCTGGGGAGCAGCAGGTAAAGGCCACCCATAATTCTTCAACAAGGGACTACTAGCTGCCGTCGCTGACCATGGACTTTGTTGCCCACCCAGGCCAGCGGAGCCAGGGCCGCCAAAGGTGCTGGCGCTGTGGAGTTGCGGGGTCTGTTGGCTTTGATGCTGATGGTCGTCAGATGGGTTATAAGGCTGAATGGAAGGAAGCAAGGCGGCAGTGCTGCGGGTTGAGCTGGCAGACATTGGGGAGGGGCTGTAGTAAGCGTTGGAGCTCGCTGGGGTTGCGGGAGTTCCATAGTAAGCGCGGGTGGGCGAGCGAGGAATACCGGTCGTGGTTAGGGTGTGGAGATCTAGTGGGTTGACGGCGCTTCTGGTGTCGGAAGATGAGATTTGTGGTTGTTGCTGGTGCTCCCAGGCTTTATCCTCAGCTACTGTCGAGATCAGCGAGTTGTGTTGCTTCCAGCTAGTAACACGGCGGGTGGAGAGTCCTCTTGCTGGTGTGCCAGGGGCTGAGTGTTCGGGCTGATGGGAGAGGGGCCTTGTGGTGTTGTTGGCATCGCTGTTGGTGGGGTCCGGCATCATCATCATCGTCGTCTCGTCTCCTCCACTTTCACCAGATTGAGACACGCCAGGCCAAAAACGCGGCGAAAGCACATGAGTCTGGCACTGGAAAGAGAGCGAAGACTGGCGCTGGTGTCGGGACCGGGCTCGCTTCTCGGCGTAGTCGAGCTGGGCGCCGGCGCGGGCCGCTCTGTTCTGGCGTTTCTTGAGGCAGATGAAGAATATGGCTGAAATGATGAGGATTACGAGCACACTGATACAAATGATGACGGCAATGATAGTGGTTGAGATCTTAGGGCCCTCTTCGGACTTGAGGACTGTTGAAGGGTCGACGATGCCGACGGGAGATTTGGAGAAGATGGTGTCGTTCAGGCCGATGACACTTCCTGCTTCAGGTTTGTATTGACAGCCGGCTTCTAGGGCGGTGAAGTCTATGAGAAAAACAGACGTCGGTCAGCGTACTCTCCCCCAAGATGTACAGACGTCATTCTTTTGTTTCTTACAATTGGCTAGGTAGCTGGACTCTCCTCCAGCTACCAAGCATGAGGTACAGTGCCCATAGATGACAGGATCCGATGCATATCCGTCGTCTGCCGAGCAGTATGAAGATGTCGTGGTATCTTTGGGGCCAGGGATACCGTGTTGTAGACTCTGTTGTAAAGGGCCACAGGCCATGGATGTACTGCATGGTGTTGTCCCGACATCTGTTGCGTTGGGAAAAGCAAAGAGACAATATGATAAAGTGTATCTCAGGTTGTCTATGTTGTAAGTCTCATTAGCGAGTTGCCGCTACTACACACACACGTATGTCAGGAACTAGGTGGTATACTCACAAAGAAACCACATCTGATCAGTCTCGCGGTCCTGTGAGAATGGACTGGTTTGTAAACAAGTCATGCAGTCTTTCCATTTACTTCCCGCCGGACTGTTGACTGCTCCATCACTGCAGATTATATCTTTGTTTTTGGTGTTGGAAGAGTTGGGATCTGATTGGTCGAGGTCGGGAGAGTCTAGGCATACTGAGGCGCACGGAGAATTGGGTGTAACTTGTAGTGCGCTGGCGAGTTGAGGTATCAGTATAGCAGAGAGGAGGGCAATGGTTGTTTTGCTCCTCGTTGCCCGGCTAGTGGTCTTCATCTTGTACTATGGTTCAGGGCGTTCGGTCGAGGACTCGGTTGACAATCCGATCAAATATTCGAGATGCGGATGTGAGCGTCGTTGATGGATAGACTGACTATAATATACTGTGTCGATTAAATGTATAGATGGATATCAAAAGGGCACCAGGCCGCAGACAGTCGAAAAAAAAATAGCGAACGACAGGTTGAGAAGGCAGAAAAGAGTATGATGGACGAAAGCATCTCAACGGCGAAGAGCAAGAAAAGCCGGGGCACGAGTTAATATCATTGAGCCTCTCTCTCTAGCCTCTACCACATCACAAAGAAAGAAACGATCCTGTGCCGCCCATCTCGTGAAAATTCCCCAAAGTGGATGGCACTATCGAGGTGGGCATCACTAGACCACTATACTCAAGGTTGTTTGAGGTGGTTGAGTGGGTAGTGAGCGGCTGTGACGAGCAGGAAACCTGCATGGCGGAACCGGGGACGTAGCGTGGAATGGGTTTGTAGGTGTGGGTGATGGCTTTGAAGACTCTTGTGTGCCTGAACTGTTGCCGCGGACGATCCCATCTAGGGTCTTGTGTCTTTCGTCAGCGCACCAATCATGATGCTGTCCGGGTTCCGATGAATGGCAAGCACGGCAGTTGTAGCGTTGGGCGAATCTGATGTATACAGCAGCCCCGGGGATGCATGTGGATTTCTGATCCAGATGGGCTTCTGCTGTGTTTTTCCTCTTGGACACGGGCAAAAGAAAATTGTAGTGTATACACTACGAGGAGTCAGAGGTAGTGAATTGGTAGTCGCTAGATCCGATGCGGCAATGTTGCCAAGACCGCTCAAGTGGTTGTTGAGCCTTGATGTCGCTATCATGGTGGTCATTTACGAACATCGAATGGCATGTCGACCACATGTCCATCGTCGAACGCAAAAGTCGAGTCGGACGAGGATGAGGAGGTAATCCCAGGAATCTGGAAAGAGCGGCCTTCTCTGCGGCCAGCAGCGCTTGTAGCCACTCTCGTCCCCTTTCTCTTCGTCACAGAATTTTGTTTGCAGAGAAAGTTGAGGAGGGATCACGGTTGAACCACGACAACGGGCGCTTCGAGGTTACTCAAAGCGGTTTAACTTCGACGCCAAGAAACATTTAACCAGACCGCAGCCGACATCTCGATTCCCACTCGTCCGTTGTTTCAGGAACCACTTGTTGATCAAAAAGTTACCCGCCGAGAAACATCATTTTGTTTACATCGATCAGATGAAGCTTACCATCACTTTTACTTCCCTTGCGTCCCTGCCCGTGTCTAGGGTTTGTGTCACCTACTCACCCCTACTATGCACGTCTTACTTGCTTGCATCTTGTTCTTCCCAAGCTATTTCGGAACGGATACTGATACACTGCAAATATCCTTAGTTCCATTCTCTGCGTAAGTGTGGTTGTCGCGGGTTATGCAATCTCTGGAATGGGTGTTCGTTGCCATCTGTCTGCGTTTAGCTCTAACTACTTCTTGCGGGGTAATTAATTAATCCCTATCCTTTCAGCAGCCAACGACTCTCATCGAGCATCTTTCAATTTATCTTTATCCTCATGACATCACGCAACGTGTTTACGTGGTCGTAGTATAGGTAGAAAATATCCCAGTGTTGCGTCCAACGGCAGTCGAAAAGAGAGCACCTTTGCGCGTCACATGTGAGTTTGCGGTAGCTCAGGGAAAACTTGAGATCCAGCGATTATGTGCTATGGAAGGACGCAGTATACTAGATGAGGAGGGCTACGGAGTTCCGGTTATTTTATTGGGAAGAATTAAAGACGTTCAAGGGTAGCCAGGGTACATACAATCCCTTTAACATTCCACCGCCGTGCTCCTGGAATCCATCTGTCGTCTTCTACCACTTTCGAACCTTGGGGTTCTCCCGCATTTCCTCCATATCGCCTTCATAGACGTAGCGGCTGGGCGGCTATCTCCACGTGGGGTGGCTAACGGCCGGCCTATTTCCCGACCTACGTGTTTTCGAGGTATGTTGTGGCACAGAAGCATGACTTCATGGATGCCTTTAACCTTTTCTCCTTGCTAGGTAATCTGGTGTTGCTCAGGTTCGTTTGGGTGCTAAGAGTGGCATGACTCAACTGACCTTTGGCTTCGCCACGGCAACAACAGCCACAGATGCTGATCTTGTGACACCGTAGACGGGCTAAGTGCCTGGAGTAAAGACGAAATTGGAAAGCTGCAGAACCATCTCCGTGACGCTTGTGCAGATGATCGTTCATTTATAAAGACGGACATAACATCTCGAAACAACAATTATCCGCTGCTCCCCCGGCTCATCAAAGGGTAGACATCCCCAGATACAGTAGTATAACTTCAAATACGCGTGAACCTATATCTACATCTATCTTCGAGCGCTTCGAGTGACACGCCATCATAAAGCATAGAAGATCATTCCGTAAACCGACACAGCAACAAACAATATTACCCCAACGCCTGATTTTTCCCGGAGCCCGATGTGTTGCGACAATAAACAAATGCGCATGAAGAACGCCTCCAATGAAGAATAGCAGAGATAAAAGAAGAAGGGTAACCGACTTTAGACAAACCCGAACACCAGAGTGGACAGTAGTTGATCCACCTTTTAGTCGCTCTCGTCGCCGCCCTTCTTGGACTTCTTCTCTTTCTTCTCCTTCTTCTCCTTCTTTTCCTTCTTTTGCTTCTTACGCTCGGCCTTCTCCTCGGCGGTCTCGCCGTCATGCTTCTTGCGCTTCTTGCTGTCGCCAGCCTCCTCAGCCTCCTCGCTCTTCTCGGCCTTCTCCTTAGGCTTGGGCCTCTCCGCAATCTCAACCTTGGCGGCCTCGGCAGCAGGGGCGGCAGCGGCGGCGGCCTCGGACTCAGCGGCGGCGCTGAAGTCCTTGTAGCCCTCAGTCCACTTGGCGGGAGTCTCGGCGTTGGGGCGGCCGAATTTGTCAAGCTTGCCGTCGCTCTTCAGCTTCTTCTTCTCCAGAGCGACAGGGCCAAGACCCCAGCGGCGGGGGTAGAGATCACGCTCCATGATGCACCGCTTGACCTTGGCAACAACACCGTGATCGCAAGAAAGCATCCTGTAGGAGAGAACGGTTAGTTTTGAGGAAGTAGTTTAGAGTCACACACGGGACATGACTTACTCGACACCGTTCATCTGGGCGATACCAATGGCAATGGCCTCGCCCTTGGTGGTCATGAGGACAACCTCCTCGTGGGTCTCAATGCCCTTCTCGAAGCGAAGGAGACCAGGCAACATGAGCTTAGCACCATAGCAGACAGCGTTCACGGCGGAGTCCTTGACAACAATCCTCTTGTAGGTGGTAAGGAGAGTCTCAAGGGGCTGGATGACCTTGCGGAGAGCGGTCTCGTCGCCACCGTTGTCAAACTGCCACTGAGCGTCGAGGACATCGTGGAGGGTGACCATGGAACCGTTATCCTCGGACATGATACCGGAGCGAACACGGCGAAGCTCCTGCATGTGGGCGCCGACACCGAGAAGGAGACCGAGATGGACGCAAAGGGTTCTGATATAGGTACCGGCCTCGCAAGAAACCCAGAAAACACCGAGGTGACGGTCATTGTCGAACTCGATGAGCTTGGACTCGTAAATGGAGCGGATACGAAGCTGGCGCTTGACGGCAGAAATCAAAGGAGGTCTCTGGAAGAGGGCACCGGTGAGGGTCTCCAGGGCCGAGGCAAAAGCAGCCTCGCCGCCGGGGACGCTGTCGTGGAAGCGGATAACGCAAACGTACTCCTTACCAGCACCCTGCTGGGCCTTGACGAGTCTGGTGGCACGGTCGACGCAGACAATCAAGCAGCCGGTGACCTTGGGATCGAGAGTACCGGAGTGACCAGTCTTCTCAACACTGTTGAGGAATCGCAATCAGCATAAGCCCTAGACCGAGCATTGAGACTTGTTTTTTGTTTCTTGTGTGGGATACATACCGGAGCATGCGCTTAATCCAGGCGACGACTTCGTGGGAGGAGGGGTTGGAGGGCTTGTCCTGGTAGGGGTTAGCACACGCTCAGATTGCGAAAGAATGGTATTGAAGAATCAATGTCGCAAGGGCAAGGCTTACCAAGTTGATGACACCGGAGGACACGTAGGACTTGATGTCGCGCTTGGAGGGCGACGAGCCGGCGGGGATGGGAGTGAAGTGACCGGTGCGGACGAGGAGGTTGCTGTAGTTCTTCAGGAGAAGAGGCCACTCGCTGGTGTCGACCGCGGGCTCGGTAGCCTGGGGCTTGATAACATGTTCTGTCTCGGCACCCATTTTGACTGTTTTGCGATTGAGTACTCTGACTTGGTGTTGATTATTGACAATTGGGAATCGATGATCTTTTCGTGTGATCAACGTCCGCGAACCGGTGGAAGAGATGGCTTCGGTCGCAGGTTGTTTGGTTTCACGAAGAAAATTGAAAGGGACAAGAGGAAGTGTCGGTAGCGAGGCACGTCTCGGAGTGGGCACGTCGAGGATTCAAGATCAAGACCGTTTGACCTTGCGATTACTTTTTTCCACTTTCTGCCGAAAAAAAAAAAGCGGCGGAGCTTTTGCGTTGATCCAAGCTCTGAATTTTTTCCTCAGCCTTTTGCCTTTTGGGCCAATGTGGGGTCTTCGTCCGGTGCCCCAATGCAGCCTCGCCGCGCTAACTCGTTCAGTGTGGGGTTTCAATGGGGCCTGCCGTGCCTGCCCAGCGGGGTTGACGACAAACCGTCTCACAATTGCCCTGTGTCCCGCCAATTGGCAACAATTGGTCCCTGAAACTTTCAATTGGGAGTGCCCGGGCATTCATGCCGCACCGACTCTTCAGGTTGTTTGCTCCTTCCGTCACGACCTGTTCTGATACTTGGAACGCATCTAATTAACATTGTGATGTATTTCGTGGCACAGTATCTGCTTACGCTTATCTAGACCACCAAGTTCAACAATCACATCAGTTCTGGCTTCTGGTTTACGTGGAATTCAAACGGCAGGCCAGACAGCACTCGACACATTTGGTCTTTTGAGTTTCATTGTTGCGGACACTCAGGTCGACTACAGTGGTGAAGCAATCCTGGCTTGCACTTGTGATTCCAGGGCCTTCAAATCAGCCCATGAAGAAGATCGTCTGTGACGTCGGTGCGTAAATAGGCTACCCGTAGCCCAATCATCGGTTTCTTCCCACCCAAACTCCATCCG